CTTTGTAATAACAGACATACATCTCGGGTTCTTCCAGTTGTACTTGCGGTATGTGTACAACAATTGGTTCAAAAGGTTCGGAAGAGGTCCAAGAATTCCGTAAGTCGTCCTTGAACTATGGACCATCGGACTTACTTAAACGGTTCAGTTCCCCCTGATGTGACTTTGAATCAGACTGTCAGGTTCGAACCGCAGTCAGAACTAGAACTGCTATAGTATAGTGCATGCAGGAATTTGCACGAAGCACAAGAGATCTGAGGACTTGAAGTAGTTGAACGGGTCACAACATATAGGTGGCTGTGTTATGTTTACTAGAAGCAACTGCCAAAATCTCGTCAAGAATCAAGACAAAGTGTATCGTGCAAATATTGAAGTTCGGTTTGGAGCGTAAGTCTCGCCATCTATTCCCAACCCTTACCCGTTCGAACTCTCCTCGCACAGCGTTGCTCAAGACCAACTGAAGGAGGAAACTCGATATATGTTGATGATGATATAAACTCGGATAACTAGTAGGTGTGGAAAACATGTAGGCATAGCATGTCTCCTGATCGAGGGTCAACTGGCCAGTTAATTCGGTGCCTTCATACCGCCATGATCTATCTACTGGCGAGATTTGCAAGATTCTGCGTGATCGATGATGGCACGCTCTGTGTGGCAGGAGATGGATCGTTTGTTGTTAAAAGTCGACGATCATGGCTTAACTTAACCTTTTTTACACGTTATGGTGAACACACGAACTGTATCCAAGGTCATATGAACTTTGAAGCTTTGAAGTCGAAGCCGGAGTCATTTGAGGTTGGACTTGCAGGCTGGACTGCAACATGGTTGATCAAGCACCGTGAGAAATCTTATCCAAAGTAAGGATTCCGAATTCTTGATTAAGTTGGAGCTTTTGAAGCGCTGACAAGCGACAGGCTACTCGTTCCATCTAATAGTTTTCAAGTTCATCCCGACCGTCGCAGACGATGTCGGAACAGGACCCTTTGTCGTCGAAAACAGATTTTATTTCCAAAGCCGATACAACACTGCTCCATAGCGTGCAAGTCGAGTCTATAGAGTTCAGTACCCAGGTCATAACGTCTTCGGCTACTGACAACTCCTCCACTGGACTTTCATCCACATGCGACCTTTTGCCTTCGGAGGCGAGCCAAAAGAAAAAGAAGAAGAAGAAACCAAAGAAGCAAAAGACTCATGAAGCTATTGATCCTCCGGTCAAATTACGGGCAGCTCCTTCACCCGACTTCGAGCGCACTTCCGTGCTCTGCATTAGTAGAAACAAGCATTGGAAATATATCAGCTCTTACCACGTAAATGTTCTATCTACCTCTCAAGGGCAGCTGAACTGATCCTTCGTGTACCATACCAGGGCCCGTGGCTGCAACTTCCATTGGAATTGCTAGAATCATTGCTCGTCCTCAATCTTGACCCTGCCACCCTGTCTTCGTCGGAAATGCAGCTACCTGCGCTACCTGCTCTTGCTTATTCGTCCCAAGCCTCACTTGGAAACATCCAGTCACGACCGACACCACGTCCTCGCGACCGCGACCGTATGTTATATTCACTCAAGGATAATACCCCTCCGGAATCACCGGGTAACACTCTCACCACATTGCCAACATCGTATAATCCGACCTCGCAGTCAGTTTCATTTCCCATGCCTGCTCCGGGTAAAGCTACTCCGCCACCCATTGACCCTGGCGTTTTTCGAAATGTTGCAGCGATTCGGAGGCTCATCGATGAGGCTTCTGAACTGTCCGTGCGCGCATCCTCTGGTCTCTCAGCTGCTGCTGCCGGCTCTATACGCACAACAATCAATAATTCCTGGGCTGTGGCTCAAGGGCTGGGCTTTGATGGCTCCAATAACATCGGTGGAGGCAGGAATGTCGCTATGAGTGCGATGCGCGTGCATAGGCTTAGAGCTCTTGCTGTTCAGAAGCTTGCGGCTGCTTATAAGGCGGATGAAATTGCCAGTAGCGTCATGGTGATGCAAGGGGGAAGCGTATTTGATGATATCGCCGAGAAAGTTCTCAAGCATGGTATGTCTAGGAGGCTCCTATCAATAGGGTTTTCATTGGGGCGCAGCACTAATGTTGTGACTCATACACAGATCCCAACGACGCTGATGCACGATATGTTCATTTCTTCCATGAAAAAATTCCCTCCCGGTTCGTGTAAAGCCTATATGATTCTTTGCCTAACTTTTTAAATTCAGTTCTAATAGGCAACTTGCGGACTCCACTTCAACGCAGGTACTTGATGAGCTGATTGCGACCTATCCTCAGCGACTGGAATATCATCGGACGCGTGGAATAGTCCACTGTTTCCGCGACGAGTATTTTTTGGCGACGAAAGACTTTACTCACGCCCTACGAGAGTCTCGTGCGGCGCGAAAAGCGCGTGCCGCACATCAAGATTTAATATCTTCCCGCGAACTTCGGGGGAAAGCTACTAAAAAGAAAAAAGGCTCTAATAAAATCCACGGACAGGCGCCTCCTAGTGGTACTAGTGCCGCTGCAAATGGGACCAACGTCGAAGGAATCAATGGGGAGCCATTACTCTTACACCCTTCGGTTTTGCCAGATGCGCCAGACCCTATCGAACCGCAGTTATTATTTTTGCGGGGGGCGGCATATTTGCAGCATGCTGTGTATCTCATTGAATCCGCTGTATTGCGGCTCGAGGGCGTCAGCAAGGTCAATTCATCCCTTGATGGAGCTGAGATGCGCCTTTGCTACCTCTCTAACGGTCGCTACGGGGGAGTCGAGATGGGGAATCCTGACGGTCCACTGGGGCGCAGTGATGGCCCCAAAGCCAAGGCATATCGGCAAGTTCTGGCAGATGACGGGTTTCGCGAAAATATTCACTCGCTCCTGAAGAAGAGCTTGCGTGATCATGAACGCTTCCTCTCTCATTTTGACACTCTAGAAGGTCCTGCGCCAATGCAAGCGGATCTGGCCAAAAGGGTGGAGGTGGCCTTCCTTTTAACTGAGCTGGTGCGCCCAAATATTCATATGTCAAGCGCCACTGGCCTCGCACACGTCGACTCCATTCTCCCGCCAACGTTCACCACCTATCATCCCTTACTCGTGGAGTCCCATTTCAGTATCCTTATTTGCCAACTTATGCTCGCAGAGTTACCCACTCTCCTTACTACGTTCTCGCGGACTGCCGTCGTTGTAGACGGGCTGGAGGGATACCCTGTGTTTCTACCTCCACGGTCGATGGCTCAAGCCGAGTTCATCGAGGTCCTCGAACGCCTTGCTAGTGGATGGATGCCTGGTATACAACCTCATTCATACATACAGGGTAAGAAGGCGACAAACCGGCTTGTAATTGAGCCTTCACCGTCCCCCTCACCGCCCACGTCTTCGACCGATACCAGGTCGACATTTGAAGCGAACGCAGAACCCTACCCCTTTGCATATTTTTCGAACACAGGCCAAATTCCATCAGGTTCCTCATTGCCCACCAACGGACGAAATACCCCTTCTAGTACATTCAGTGGGAGCCGTGAGGATCTTCTAGAGGCATTGGACTGTGCCAGAATTTTGCTTGTTCCTGTGGCTGCAAGGCAAAAGGAACGTGCTGAGAAGGCAGCAGCGGAGAAAGTCAAAGCTGGGAACAAAAAGAAGCCGTTAAATTTCAACATACCGCTACACGGCCCACGAGTGGAAATCATACTTGCGTGGTTTGCAGCCGTTCATCTTGTTGAGTTGGAGAGCGTTGCTTGATATCACACTCGTGACGGTGTCTTGGTTTTTGATGGAGAGACGGTGTATTTTTTGGTCAGGCACACGTAGTCTACCGAGATGTCAGCTCGATCTATCAGTATGAAATGGATTCTCTTTGACGCGCGTAAAATGACAGTATTTATGTCACGAATGCTGGATCGCCCACAGTCGAGACGCAACGCCACAGCATCGAGAAAAATGCATGTATACCGCACGACTAACACATCTCAGTGTTCCTTCTTCTCTTCAACTGTGCTAAAACCGTCCAATTCCTTTCTAGCCTCCTTTATGAAATGATCGAGATAAGCAAGTATCCACGGTGTGGCTAGAGCCGCACAGGACAGAACGGGGATAAGGAAACACACAGTAGGAAGAAGAGAAGCCGGTATAACGCCAAGATAGAGTTGTTCGAGAACGACAATGAATGATATCGCTTGAGCAGCTGGCATAGGGAGATCAGGAGTGCCTGTGGGTGTGCGTATGCCAGTATCAACGACTCGTATCCTGGCGTACTTGAGGCGAGTAGTGGATAAACCCGCGCGCGACAAATGCGGCGCAGTGATGGAAGCATCGTCTATCGCTGACTGGTGCGGTAGTCTAGACAAACGGGTTAAGATCGCCTGAGGACTGTGGATTTCAAGCAAAAAATCCGCGGGGGACTGTAATAGCGACGCATGGTTAACGACCGTGAAATTTAGGATTGGGGATAGAATGAAAAAGGGTGCATTGACGTACGGAAGCAGGCCAAGATAGACGTAGCGTAAACTTTGAATAGGACGACCAATTTTCATCATCGAGATCTAGCGCTACCCAGAGTTCATGAAGGCATGAGAAGGGGTTCTCCGAGTCCGGATCTGTGCCTGTCTCTGACTCGCATACCTGCTGCAAAGGCGTGTCGAGCAGGGCGGGATCTACGTTCCAAAGCCCCTGATTATTTTTGTAATTCAAAATTGGCCTGCACGCAGGACTGCGTCAAGACACCAGGATCTGCTCCAAGCATCGTGTTCGAACTTACCAGCTGTGAACCGTGGTAGATGAGAAGTCGACGTTGCTCTCCTCAGCGGCAAGGAAGTTGATAATTTCCGTGTTGGCAATGACTTCCTCGCAAATGAACAGCACAATAAGGGGCAGGGTGATGAAAGGGTGAAGCATGAGAGCAAGTGTTACAATTCACGCGCTGGTTGGATGATTGTGGTCCCATTTAAGTATCTGCCTCCACTTGAACAGTGAGGATGGAGTGAAAGACGGGATTACGAGACTTGTTATCAACTTCGATTTGATTCACTTATGGCGCAATTGAAACGCGGAAAATAAGAACGTATGTAAGGTATGACTATAGTATACAACTGAGGGAGAACAGAAAACCTGCTTTGGCCAGAGTCGTCAAAAAGTATCATCATCGATTTATCAATAGGGATGTTAAGGCACGCAGATAGTGACTTGTAACGGGTAAGGCAGTGCTCCTGGTTGAAGAATGAAAAATGTATAGTAGAAGAATAGAACTGATTATCTGTGATGAAACCATGTGGATGTGGCATGTGAAGGAACGCAGACAACACGAGGGCTGAATAAGAAGTATCCAGTATAGCTTTTGGACCTTCAATCGTCATGTAGAACTTTACAATGTGATGCGGGCGACGCCGGCGAAGAGATCGTTCATGGCGTCTTGGACTGCCCTGAACTTGGTCACGCCACAACGCTCACTCTCGATGTGCTGACACAGCCCACTAAGGGAGGCGAAGTGCTTCTGGCAGGTATTGAGAGGGCACCGATAGACTTTCTCCTGGTGGCGAGGGCTGTCCAAGTGACGATTCAAGTTCATCAAAGTCCGGAACTGGGAGTGACAAAGAACACATTCATAGGCCTCCCCGTTCCACGACTGCTCTGTCGCGATAAGCTTAACGTTGGCACGTTCACCAGCAGTAATAAGCCGCGCTGGGTTGGTAATGACATTAGAGCGGTCATTGGCGCGGACCCAGTTGTCAACGACGCGTCGGTTGACGCCTGATCGACATGAGCCGGATTCAAGATGGAGAATGAGAGCAGACTTGTTAGTGAACCCCAAGTCACATCCGTTGAAGGGGCAGATGATGTCTTTAGGGCGGTGTGTGCTAGAGTTCAAATGCTAGTTGTCTAGGTCAGGTTTTGCGCAGGCACAAGAATGGAGCGAAGCTTACAGAGTGAAGGTTGCTCGGAGACTGGAAGAGTCTTTTGCACGGAACACAGTACACGTTGGCGTGCTTCTGCCGGTTATGCTCGTGCAAGCCCAAGGCGTTCTTCAAGACTTTTTCACAAGAGCCACAGTAATAATGCTCGTCTTCGTAATGATCCTGTAGCTCAAACGAGGAGTCAAAGTGTTTGTCGCAATACTGGCAGTAGTCATGGTAGGGGCTCTGAACGTAATGTTCTTTGAGCCCTAGCCAAGATTCAAAGTCTATTGAACAACTCTGGCATTCCCAGTGATTAGAGGAGTCTCGGATGTGCTGGTGGTAGGCAGACCAGGAGTAGAAAGAGCGGTCACAACGAGAACAGTAAGTCATCTTCTGAATAGCTCTACTGAAAATTCCTGAGTTGTTATAGGCGTATTAGCGGTGCCTCCCAATTATACAGAAGAACTTATAATGACTTTGTCGTTGTAATGACTCAGAGAAGGACGAAGTTGACTGACTCGACTCGGACGCGACCGTGACGAAATTACGCTCACATTTATAGTAGGGGTGCAAGGGGTCCTAGACGCGTCCGTGTCAAACAGACGTCAATTCGGTCACCACCAAATTGTTTGAGCTAAGCGTCACGCTCGATCCGCTCGCCATGTATTCTGCTTCCGCTCAGAAAGCCAAGAGACGCACGCACACACGTCCGGAGCTCACCGACGAACAAAAACAAGAGATAAAAGAGGCCTTTGAACTGTTCGACACGGACAAGGATGGCTCGCTGGACTACCACGAACTCAAGGTTGCGATGCGCGCCCTCGGCTTTGACATGAAGAAAGCAGAGGTATTGAAGATACTACGAGACCATGACAAGAGCGGTCATGGTCTCATAGACTTTGAGGATTTTGCAAAAATCAGTTGAGTTTCTCAGTTGCATCGATTCTACTCAAGCGATGAGTACGCGCCAGATACGCATCTCATATTTACATTATTGGGTCTTGATAAAATTGGATCTCTCACGCCCACAGCATCTTCTCGTGATTGCGCGCCCTTTTTGCTAACGTTCTTTTCCTAGTGAGTGAACGGATCCTGGCGCGAGATCCGATGGATGAAATCCGCCGAGCTTTCCAATTGTTCGATGATGACAACACAGGAAAAATCAGTCTCCGGAATCTTCGACGTGTTGCAAAGGAGATCGGTGACCGATTGGAGGATGATGAATTGTGAGTTAACTCCATTCATTCTCGTTTTGGGGCGCAAGGTCTGTGAGAGGCACGTAGGCACTTTGTCCCAGTCACCCTTTTTCGTGCTCGTTACTGCATCAGCTCCCTTCTTTTGCATTTCCGCTTTTTCTTCACCGCTGTTTGTCAAGTCACTGATTTTTTTTCCGCTCATGGTGTTCCAAATTTGCTCACCCCTTGTTCTTCCATTTCGCAGGCAAGCAATGATAGATGAATTTGACCTGGACCAGGATGGAGAGATTAACGAACAAGAGTTTTTCGCCATCATGACAGATGATCCATAGCTCCTGGTTATCTATTGTCTCGAGTCATATATTGTCATACCGTTTCTCGCTGGTTACTATCTATTAACCCCCAATTGTTTAGTAATATATTTCGATCGTTCTCTGTATGGAACATTCAAGAACTTTGTCCTGTGAGTCCTTTTCTGACCAGGAAAGGCGTCCTCTTATTCGTAATATAAACAGCTGTGACATGTTCATCAGAATCCCTCATGTAATTGTACAGCCGCCGCCTGATATGTAATACGCCGCTGAGTTATGGCTATTCTACGAATCCTTGTAACGTGGCCCTGATGCCCACTGCGAACCACGATCGGGAGCCGTAAAACCTTTAGAGACGCTAAGGAGAAGCTAGCAGGCTGCCGGACGGCGCAACTTGAATTGATGCAGATAAAAACACATGCATTTGTTGTTCATTTGTGGCTACATAGCCTTAATCATGAGGCCCTATAATTCCCCAAAAAAGACTAAGAAAATAATAATAACCTGTAAAACAAATCCCCGAAATAAACACCCAAGTAAAATAGTTTACAACCATAACGTATGGCTACATACGCAAACTGGTGTTAGGATACGGCTGAGGATGATGAGAGGTAAATAAAAAAATCCGTCCATGATAGTGCAAGCGATGAGTGATAAGGATACAACGTGACGATGGAATGCAAGGATAAGATACAATATGACTGGCATGGGGGCATTGGACTTTCGTGGCAGCATCGACAGATGTCAAGAAAATGTTTCTCGAGCTTTGCATGTAATCGGCGGCATAACGGGCGCAGTCTTCTGTGGCGAACAAAGGCTGCTCTAAGGATAGAACAAGAGCTCCGGGTAACTGAAAGGCGACGTGGTGACGACAGAGAGCATACAGGCGTCGATATGGAGATGATACGAAGGAGTAGGAAGAGAATTATGAAGACGTGGTTGTTTTGAAGATGACGGTGACGTGACAGTGAAGCGAGTGACAGACATAAGCTAACCAGACGACGAGCGGCGATTGGAGCGCATTGTGACCAGAATGCATCTGGAGTTGATCAATGCAAACACGAAAAAAGTCAGAAAATGAGAGTTGTCAAATGAATTTCGGGTGCAGGAGATGAGCTGGGATCGAGAGAATAGAGTCATAGAGCGAGTAAGAGAAAGAGAAAGGCTGGTCAAAGAACAATGTCGCATTGGCCAGACCTGGCGGAGATCCGACTACACCGCAGAAGAATATACGGAGAACGCGGCGTGAGTCCTGCGCGTCTGGGATTCCGAACCAACGACAAACCTGAAGCCGTTGTCGGAATCATGGTGGATGTAATTAAAGGTCATCCACCATACCCATCCTCTCCATCAACTTGGGCAGATCCTTGTGGACTTTCATGTGCTGGCCTAGGTTATCGTGCCGACTGAACTCCTTTCCACAACCAGGGTATGGACATCTATGCGCTGTCATCGTTGATAAGAACGGGGGGATAGACAGTAGAAAAAGTAAACTTACGCTTTTCATTGGTGTGGATGCTCCTGATGTGTCGTTTGAGGTGCTCCCCTCTTGCAAAACATTTGCCACAGCCGCTAATGTCGCACAAATAGATCCGACTTCCGAGGGGGTCACTATAACCTCGGGCCCGACCGCTGCCGCCGGTATTATTCACAGTCGGCACGCGACGACCCCTCGACTTCTTCGTGAGGTTAGGGACTGGGACGGGAACAGGGAGGGACCGTGCGTTTTTGCGAGACTTTCCTACCTGGGATGACGAGCCTGGCGTCAAAGTGGAGGCAGCAATAAGAGGTGACTTCGCAGCACGCTTTGGTGCAGGCTGTGGGAGTCCTGAACCATAAGGATGGTACCGCGCCGAACTCCTGCCGGAAAAAGATCGAGAACGTAAGCTTCGCGTGTTCTTTGACGTTGTTCGCATGTGGGGTACGAAGTCGCCGTCTCCATCGTCATCCTGTACTTCTTCCGCGCCGTAATCATCGTTGTCAAGGCCAACTTCGTCAACACCGTCTGCGTCTTCTTCGTCATCCAAGCTGAAATCACTGTCTCTCTCAACAAGGAAAGTCTCACTAGGCTGTCGCACGAAGCCCTGGGGCATAAAGCGACTCTTCCCTGAACTATGTCCACTGTTGGAGCTAGACCCATGGTGATTAAAAGCTGCAATGTCCGGCTCGCCTTCAGCATCCTCGTCCTCAGGTTCCGGTAGATCCGTGAACCCCATCACGGGTGATACCTCCGCAGGTCGCACAGTTCTCTGCTCCTGCAAACCCTGTGTTTGAACTCTCAAAGCCTGTCGTTGTTGTTCCTGTTCCTGACACGTGCGCTCACAATCGCTAACGATGGATGATCCAAGATATGCTTGACGTGGAACAGGCGCAGGCAGCACAGGCATGCTCATCGATGACAAGGAATTGCTTTGGTTTGGCATATAGCGCATCACTAGTTCCGATATACCGGTGTCGTGCTGCCCGATTGGGGGTGAACCTGATGCTGAGGATGTCAGGTATAACGACTAGACATTCAACGAGTACGCACCTGTCTCAAAAAGACCATCATAGACCGCCAAGCTGGTGGGCGAGTTAGAAATATTAGCTGGCGGGCTATAAGGAGCTACAAGGTCGGGAATGCTTTCCACTTTGATGTTCTGACGAGGCTGCTGGTAGCAGGTATGCGAGGCTGGGGGGACCGAAGCCGGGAAAGCATGATAAGAGCTTGTGGCCGCCTGCGGCTGGTATGCAGCATCAAAATCCTGTGGATAAGATTGTGCATCGCTTCCCGCAGGGTGGATGAGATGGGCCGCGGGGGTAGGAGGAGAGCCATACAAGGAGTTGCTGTATTGCTGAGGATCCGTTTCCTGCTGCTGCGGAGGATACAACGGTTGAAATTTCTTCGCTTCAGGTGAATAAGTATACCCCATTGCGACTGACAAGGGCATGGGCAACGGCGCTGCGACAGGCTGCTTATACACCTCCGGGTTTTCAGCCACATACCCCGATAGGGCGAACGCCCGTGGAGCGTGCGGGAACAAGTATCCAGTGGCGACCAGGTCATCTGTCATGATGTATGGATAATAATCATCACCAACAACATGCGATGTGTCGTTCTCCATGGAATCGATGGGAGGCTCGGGAAGCGGGCTCTCGTTGGCCGAGGATGAAGAGAGCGGAGATTCAGCGGAAGCAGCTGAGCTGTCTGACGGGTATGGGCTATAGTCTGGGAGGGACTGAGGAAGTGGCGACTGCTGTGCGAGGGAGTAACATGAATTGAAACGAATAGAGGGGGAGAAATGGCCAAGACTAGGACTAGAACTGGAATGGGAATGCGGGCGAGCAAAATACGGATAGCTTGTCATATTGACAGCGGCCGAATGTCCAGACTGTTGTCGTGGGGCTAGATGATGGGGGAAAGGATAAGGAGCAGAGTCGAAATAAGAGGGACGAATATTCGAGTCCATTTGAATTTTAAGGACAGAGTTGTAATACGGTCTTGCCTTGTCTGGAGTGAATATAAGCCCAGATTTATCTGGAGCACTAAAATAAGGGAATTGATTTGAGTTGGAAATTATTGGTCATACCAAGGACAATCACCAGGTTCGCGCACAAGGCAAGCGGTCGCGTTCAGGTACCTTAAAGGGATGTGATCGTGTGGCTGTGAATGTAATTTACAGTTGAGGGGGAAAAAGATCTGAGAATGGAACAATCGCGGGGAGCGCGTTGGTCGACGGCGGGACACCGAGGCCTGGAAAGTTGTATGGAAATGCGATCGAGGCTGTGGAGCAAAATGCTGCGAGTGTGCACTGCCCTTTGAATGAGTCACGTCGTGTTCAAAAATCGTGAGTGTTCGTCAAAATGATGATGTTTCTGTTAGAAACAATAAAAGTGTCAACTTCTGTCAATGAGTACCGCAGTTTCCGAGTGAAAGAGGGGACAGCCTACAAAACGAGAGCGGATGATAAAATCTAAGGTTACAACCTTAGTGTCAGCCTGAAGAAACCTTGCACCGCCGACGAACCTGGTTGTGATACGGAGTCAAGAGAACGATTTAACGAAACTCATTTGCGATCATACTAGAGAAGCCTTACCTGTGTACTATTGTTGATCCTACTTTGCCGGATTGTCAGTTCTTCGATGGGGATCTTTCGGGACCAGCTTTCCTTAATGGCTATCCTCTGGATGTAGTCCTTTTCAATTATCATGGCCGTTGGTCATAGCACGAGGCTACCGAACACTTTTCGACAATCTTTGCTCTTTTGGAGAGCTAAGGTTCACAAGCACCAGCAGGGGAGCAGCTGCCATCTCAGGCTAAAGCCTGATCTAAGGTTTGTGCGGAAGCTCCGATCTAACAGCAACTGATCTCAAACCGTGAACTTTCGTCCAGTACGTTATCATCATCGTAACAGTTTTGCAAATCACACGAACGTTCTACCCTTTTGGCCTCTCGAATAGCATCTCTACGTCAGAGAGGTAGGGATCCCATGGGCCGCCTTCTATACTCACAGAGATATCGTTAGTTTAGGTACAAAGTTGTGCCTAGGCTACCTTCTTTGATCTCTACACCAGTCATTTCCCAACGCGAGGCACTCGGCTCCCTGCAGCCTGATATTTTACTCCTCCCTGCAGCATAAAACCTCTTTACGGTAGCTAATCAGTCCATTATCCAGGAAAGGCTTCCGCTCCATCCTGTCACCGCATGTCAGTCGCGCCAGGGGTGTCAAAGCGACGTAAATCAAGAATTCCTCGAGAAGCTCCCTGAGAGTTTCACCTCACACTTTCATATCTATGAATCGGAAATCCACTCCGGCAGGTCCCCACACCAACCGTGCTACTTGCCTTCTAAATTCATACTGCGTTGCCGTAGACCTCGCCATTCCTTTCCAATCACGCACTTCTCAATCACCCCAGCCACCCTGATTGCGGTGTGTATCATCTATTTACTGGCTTCTACGGGAAATTAGGCCAGAATCTATTCATGGCACTTGACATGAACGACTACATCCCTGGGAATCACACTCGTATCGCGCCGCATATCGATTAAAATCGATAGTTTCATATATGAAGAGGTCGGTTGGCAGGCGTGTGCACGCAAATGTGATCCTGGATAGAGACTTGCCAAGAATCAACAATACCGCTCAACCTTCCTTTTTGCGGTTGATACTCGAATCTAAAGCACCTGTTCTATCTCCATAGAGCAGGGGCGTTATGGAAATGCCCGCCAGACAGCTGAATTCGGTAAATCATTTTCTGACTGACTATTTTGGCGGGAGCGAGTGTCCACGGGACGTAAGGCCCCATCAGATAGCCATAAAATTAATTAAATTCGATTGAGCGTACAACTTGATCTGGAGCGACAGTCGGCAACTTTCATTTTAATACACCAAAGATCAGTAATAGACGACCCTGGCTTCGTCTGCAGATGTGTTTCATCTGCGCGGTCTACAAACACCGCAGCTGTCTAACGCTTGTCCAGCATAGTTCCGACTTACATCCGATTTAGCAGGCTATGAGTGGTGGCACTGCAGTTGGGACGGAGCGCCGACGATTATTAAGCGGAGACCTGTGTGAACGGACAGGCAGTTAGCGTTGTTGAATGGAACTAGAACTGGAGACCGGGACCATGCTAATCCAATAGCTAGCCTTGCTGGATTTGTGCCAGTGGCAAGCATGAGTATGCCGTGCGGTGACTGATCCAAGGGTAATGTCGCAATAATCCCTGGATTCAAAAAGTAGCTTAGGTGCCGATTGATCGCGAAATTAACGTGACCGTCAGTGTCTGCTGCGTGTCCTGACGGTCTCAAATTCAATTACAACCAATTACATCTTGATTATTGATATGAATTTCAAAGCAGCAAAGGCAATACTTGACAATCACCAAATCCAGAAACCTACTCATGTTGAGTCAGCGTAACACGAGCGCCCGAAGAGTAAATAGGCTCCCTAAACTTACCAATATATTCCAAAAACACAAAATCGCCGTATTGCCATTAGGCAAGTTGACACGTTCTTTGGAAACACTGAGCGGAATGACTCGGAGAGGAAACAAGGGCAATGCCGAAGCGCATGACTCCACAATCAGTCGGCAGGTCCCGACGATGTGATGAATTGCTACATTAGCAAATGTGTACATTAGTACTGTGTGTACATAGAACAACGGAGAACATACAAAACGATTCTAGCGAGTGTACGTGCATAGCCTCGAAGAGATAACCTTATCGTGGAGCACGCGTTCGAGAACAGTGACTGGCAAGCAGGGCAAGCAGGCAACGTCACTGTGGGCCTCGAGATGATTTAATGGTTTATGGCCTCAGTGCATAGTAGCATATGACGCCCCATCGTCCACGGAAAGGTTGACACATCCCATCAATCGATGCCGCGGATGTGCGAGAGCCAACAGGCACTATTCATTTGTAGACACCATGACACGCTGTTCAGGTTGGATCCGGCCAGTGGGACTATGGATTAGAACGATATTAATAGTAAAATAAAACAAGGAGGACGGCGATTTAATGAACCAAGGAAGTAAGCACCGGTAAGTGAACGGAAAGTGTTTCGACGATGTCGTTTATTTGGACAGCCCGTTGTAGATGGGAGTGCGGAAATTGGGAATAACTGCATTGCCTCTGGACTGTGTCGCGTCGACAGGATTATCAGAACACAGTACGTACATTCTTGGACACACAATCTAGGTCAAGATTATCCAAACCAAAGCTACGAAGGTGCGTGTCGAACGAATCTGGTAGCTGCCACATGACAGTGAAGGCAAATTATTACTCCAGTTCGGCTACTGCTGAGACAAGGCAGTAAATGGATAGTGGATCTTGTGGAAGCGTCGACAGGTATTCCAAGCGCCCGGTAGTGGTGGTCCCTGCAGCAGAGCAGAGGATTCCTATATTGGTAAATGTGGTAAAAATGGCAGCTAACACCGAGTACCCTCCCAGTGTATTAGCATGAAAATCACCGAACTAAAAGCAGAGTTTATGCAGAACGATATAGTATAGACGTTGACAGCGTCGTCCGCTGTGCACTGAGTGATCATGACGGTCCCGGGCTATGATACAGGTGGTCCATGGACCGTCACGGTTGAACACGTGGATAGGGCTCGATCGTGTGAACGGGGTAGTTTGGCAAAAAAACAACGAAGGACCCCTGTCCGAAATCCCCTGCGCCAGAGTTCGCTTGCAAGGAAATTTTGTTGGTTTGAAAACACAGTTCAACGCTGCTTTATACCGTAGAATTAGTCTTTAACACCATTGGATAAATCTTTGTCGAAGAGGTGAGCAGTCGTCGTCTCCGAAAAGCCCCTTGTTCTCATTCTCCCATCAGGCGTCGCAAAAACGATGGAAAGCCCTGAATCTCAATTCGTCCAATCTCCCGGAGCTCCACCAACACCTTTACAAGACGACGACACCCTAGTAGACCTTAATCAACCTAATAATTTGGTCAGCATCTTTTTTTGCTTTATATTCCGTTATAATATTTACCAGGATAACGCCACTCTTTACATTCCATTATATACCTTTACAGGACTCTCTAAATCTTTCAACTGATTCAAACCCGAATTCTCGAAGAGTCACGCGTTCTCAAACAACAGGTCGTCCAACCGTTCGTTGGGGAAAACACGGCAGAGGTGACCCCCCAGACACGCCATACAGAGGATCTAGTGCTTCTCTCAAACGATCTTTCGACGCGCGGGCAGTCGACGACGAAACTGACGTTGAGGCAGATCAAGACCCAAGTTACGTGCCATCGAAGCTTCTCAAGATGGAGCCTACCGTGTTGATCCCGGAATCGTCTTCCGGTTCAATGGTTGAGAATACCCCTCAGTTAAAGGAGGTCACGCCTCCATTCGAACCCAGTGGCACCCCAATGCCTGGGGAGTACACTTTCCTTGACGCTTCCTCTTCCTCATTTACTTCTGAACGTCGTGGACCGAGGATACGCACGGCCCCCCCTATTCCCGTTCCGAACCTGACGAAAAAGAGTCGCGGTCGCCGCGTCCCTACCGCCGGTGACGATGCCGCAGTAGAAGGAGAAGCAGCTGAAGGACGCAAGGGACGCGTTTATGTCTGTAAAGTGGAGGACTGCGGCAAGTGCTTCAGCCGTGGAGAGCATCTCAAACGGCACATCCGATCTATTCATACACATGAAAAACGTGAGCGTCTTTGTTGCATCATCGCCTCTCCGGACTTTGTTGATAATATCCGTCACGATCAGCGTTTGACTGTCCTCACCCCACGTGCGACAAACGTTTTAACCGGAACGATAATTTGCTTCAACATCTACGTGTCCACAAGGGTGACAATTCTTCTCAGACCTCTGTCGATTCGGTACATCCGGTTACCACTGCAGATTCTGCTCCTGATGATAGCAGTTCTACTGCAGCGGCTCAACGCGCCTCTTCGTCTAAAGCGAGCAGTACCCGCAGAGCAGTCCGCCCGGCACGCAAGACTAAATCGGCTGCATCCACTCCACCAATCCATCCGGCACGTCTTGCTGCTTCACGAGCTGCGAGCCGAAATGCTCCTCTTACTCTTCCGCGCACCTACTCTCTTCCTCCGCTTACTTCTTTAACATCTTCGTATCACACCCCAGCTGCCGCGGGCTTCATGAACAATACGAACATCGCGGTCTCCTCCCTCCGGACTGTCATGGGTGAGGAGGCTGAGGAGACAGATCATGAACAGGAGGAAACAGAAATTTCTGAGGATGAAGGTCACCATCGTCAGACAACACACAGTCTCAGCGACCTCCGCTCGATGTACAACTTCCGCAACGCTTTCAGCTCCGCTCCCCTGGTGCCTAGGAAAGACATGGCGCGCAGTAACAGTATACCTGCTGATGAACACCTAGACAGCACACCTGTCTCTGCAGGACCCGGACCATCTTCCAGTCCTTCACCTTCATCCATGTCGCGCGAAGGTTCTAACGAAGCCCATAAGTCAGCTCCGCATTCTCCGCCAACCGTGCAGCCTAAATCCAATGACAACTGTTGATATTCCCGCGTCCTCGTCCGATGAATCGTCGCTGTGGATAACGTTGATTGCCTCATATGTTGATCATTATCAGTCGTTGTCTTGTATGTGTCTTTCGTGCCGCCTGTCTTTCATTGATGCTTTGCGTTTACAAAATTGATTTAATATTGATCTCGTATTCCTTTATCCTCTTTGTCGTTAAAACTTGTCTTCGCGTTTTTGTCCGCGTTCGATTGAACCAGTTCTTGATTTCCTCTCCTATGCCCTCTGGATCTGCCTAGCTTCACACACTTAGTTATCTGGTCTCTATAGCCCTAATTGCGGGTACGGTTTGCCTATGGCATCTCCTGCCCTGTCTTGGTCGTGCTCTTCTTGCGATACCTGGATAGTTGTAGTACAAATTGTTTGGATAACGCTATAATTTGGATACAGGACGACCAGGTAGTCCATAATGATGAGTACATCGATTACAAGAGATAATTGCATGAGAATGAGTATCGAGTGTCATATTGATATCGTACAGTTCTATATAGTATCGTACATATATGCTTCGGATAGAAAATGATCATGACAGTGACTGTTTCAGGATGTGATTGGACTTTAAGCCCATGCGATGATATCCTGCTCTGTAGGGCCAGCGGGAACATCGGACGCGGCGAGGTTGCACTGATGGAATGCGCGAACTTGATCAGGCTTGAAAGCACCGACGACGGTGTGAAGCAAACCGCGGTTGTGGAACAGAACGAGATCACGTTCCTTCCAGTCGTGTGGATACACCAACTAAGCAAAGTCGTATCAGTTCGCATAGAGAAAGAGCAAGCAAAAATAATACCCCGGGTGCAATACCGGGCCGCTGCATCAAGTACAGAAGTTCGCGAACCTTCCCAAGGTCCTTGATATGTTCTCCATCGGGGTATAAAGCACCCTCACGGGAAGCGCCAAGTGGTAAGGGTTTCACGATAAGTTCTTGAGCACCGCAAGGATGCACTTGGAAATGTAGTTCGCCTGTGATAGGGTTCTTCCAAAGCTACGCGTGCGCAGCTTTTTTAAACTTATGTCCGCGGAGTGGAAGTAATAGGACGTACAATAGGCAGCGTTTTAATTTTCGATTGCTCCCACTCTGGAAGTTCGCTCAGCGGCAGTTCCAGACCTTCGTTCACAATTCCTAGACCGTCCGACTTCGCACGGGCAGGTGCCATCCAGACGTAAGGGTGTGGTGCGTACCGAACAGAAGTCCGAACGGCAAGGCTCTTCAACTCAGGCGGCAGGATCTGAAACATCTTCTTTCCTGACACAAAAGCTGTGGTCCCCAGAGGCACAGACAGGGTCTCCCCGGATGGATCATCGTCGTCGCTGTACCTGACAGTCTGCCGATCACCCCCAGGCACGGTGATGCCGTAGAGGGTAGTCGCACGAGGTGGATTATAATCGTACAGCGCAGCATCGATGTGCCAGCGATAGAATCTGGTGATGCCCAGGTCCTCGTTTTCAGGAGAGACACGGGTCTTGTGGAAGGTGGTATGTGAGGGATGCTTGAGAGCAGCGGATTCAAGACCTTCATGGTTGTAGACCATGCCATTGCCGATGAGTTGAACTTGGGGCACCCGGGGAATAGTCTTAAGGTCTGGGTGAAGGATAGACTTCTTGGTAGATTGCGTCTTGTTGTTGCCATGTCCATATGATTCGGCCTCAGGATCAAAAGCCTGTCTGAACATGAGAACAATGTTGAAAGCTATGTCAACGAATTTGTCTACCTTCGTTAGAGCATATTGTTGTTCCGGTGTCAGTGTAACATCTCTGAACAGCAGAATTCCATGCTGCAAAGTGCATGAGTCGAGTGCATTTCACCAGCTAAAGATCCGAGACTTACGGTGTACAAAGCTGTCTCAATCTCCTTGAATTGCTCAGGAGTTAGTTCACCAGGGCTCACGTTCTTGACTTCTCGACCAAAATCGGGATCGAAATCAGTAAGACTGGCAGTGGCAGGGAGGGTGATTGGTGCTAGTTCGATGGCCATGTTGCGTTCAGAATGAGAATAAGTCGAGCAGAAAGGTTAAGAGTTGTAATGATCCGGCCTTATCATGCAAGTTACCGGCCCGAACCGGCGCCGACACTTGAACCGGGACAAATGTATACATGGGGCGGCGGCCAAAGATCCAGATGGAATATTTAAAGGCGTCATAGCCGCAGGTCCAGACTCCAGGCGCATCAAAATAGCTACGCCCGTCAAATTGCCGTTAGAATCGGTCTGCCCGGGCCTAGGCAGGTACGATTCGGTTGCCCACGCTTATTGCTTGGTTCACTTTGTCACTCGTAGTCATGGAAGCTAGACAGAGGAAGAAAGCAGCCACTGGGTTCACAAATGGTCGACAAGTGCGTACTTGACAGTTACTTTGGTCGCTGAAATGACTAACACCAATGCAGACGGACAGTGAAGCCAAGGCCGGCCCAGCGTTTCCAAAAGTATATATATTATTAGCCGCTGTGTTGGCTTTGGCACTTTACAATGTCTGTATAAAACACCTTCAAAGTTGGAGAATTCTACTTACCCTAGTGAAGAATCCATTCAACCAGTTCCTTGGTACACCTGCCAGTCATCTACCAGGAGTACGAACAGATTACGTCCCCACCTTAACGGCGGACGAAGCAAAACGAGACGCAGTGGTAGAGGCCTTTAGAGTACGAAAACTTGTATTTTCTCAGCTTTCCGTAGACTGACACCTGATCTTAGCATGCGTGGCTTGCATACGGTAATAGCCCAGTTCATGTAATTGTGGGCCAAACGACTGATTTCAGTAGAAAGAGACGCTATGGGTGACGACGAGTACCACCCGATCTCGCACACTGGCTCAAATTTAACTAAAGCGGGGGGTATTGGGTATACTGTGGTAGACTCTATCGACACAATGATTATCATGGGGCTGGAGGACGAGTACCAGCGTGCAAGGGCATGGGTGGCAGACAAGCTCTCATTCGAACGGGATGGTAAATTCAACACCTTCGAGGTAAGTAGAAATATTCTCATGGCGTAATAGCGACTTGATGTATTTTCGGTCTCTAGACAACAATTAGAGTCCTGGGAGGCTTACTGTCAGCATACCATTTGTCTGGGGACGACCCTGTGTTTCTCGAGAAGGCTCAGGAACTCGGTACCCGCATTCTGCCCGTTTTTGATACAGAGTCTGGTCTTCCATTGTCATTCATCAATCTAGCGCTTCGAGAAGGCGCGCCAGATAGGGATAATGGCGGGTATGTAAGTACTGCCGAGGCTGCAACATTACAACTTGAGTTCCGCTATCTGGCATACCTCACAGATGAGGATACGTATTGGGAGAAGGCTGAAAATGTGAGTGTTTTGCTTGTGTTCTTTACTAGGTCCTACATTGTCTCAGGTAATGGCCACCCTGAGGGCGAGCGCAATGTCGAGCGGACTAGCCCCCATCTTTCTTGAGTAAGTCATGAATTCATAAAATTGCCAAGCATACATCTTATATGCCAGTCCGAAATCGGGTCAATATCAAACTTCGGCGATTCGAGTCGGATCTCGCGGGGATTCTTACTACGAATATCTGCTGTGAGTCGATATAATGTCGAGTTTAACGTTTCTTTCATCCTTGAGTCACAGGAAACAATACCTGCAAACTGTAAGTATAGTATACAGGAAAGATTGATGGCGGACAGTCTGATAATTCCCTTAGAACCAAACGGAGCTTGTATATCACGAGGTATATTTGACAGTCTGATCTCAACATCATTCATTATACGTTTTAGATGTATGTCACTGCGATGACAGGCATCTACACACATCTGGTAAAACGAGGGCTTTCCGGTCAGCTTCTCTTTATAGCTGAACTTAACCCAGAGCGGACGCAAAATGGGGAAATGTTGGCTATATCTCATTCTTTGATGATAAACGCCCTAATGTGTGATCAATAGCGGATGGCGTTTAATGCCCAAGCAAGATCATCTCGTGTGCTTCCTTGGCGGTTCCCTTATGCTCGGTGCCACGACGTCTGGTGCCCTTGTTCACAATGTCTCGATTCCACCGCGAACCGACGAACTCACCGACGACGGCAAACGCGATTGGCTTACAGGAGTGGAACTCGTTAACACCTGTATGGCCACACATGACACCCAAACGTATGTTTCGATGTACCTCGGTAGTGTTTACATGAGCACTGAATATGGCGATCAGCGGCCTGGCACCTGAAATTGCGCACTTCCGTGCTCTGGGCGATGGGATGGGTGATTCAGTGGCTTCCACGGACTGGTACATCAAAGGCGCGCGGTATGTTGACTCACTTGTCACATCGAACCGCATGCTGACTCGCTTGTGAATTACCAGCTCAGGTGCCCCTCCTCCTTTTGATGCCCGGTACATCCTCCGGTATGTTTGTTTCTGTTCCGTCATCCACTCATGAGAGATTTGGCTTTTACTGTAGCCCGGAAACCGTCGAATCTATTTTCATTGCCTTCAGGCTCACCGGCGATCCCAAGTATCGCGATTATGGCTGGGCGATATTTCAGGCCATCGAACAGCATTGCCGTATCCCAACAGGCGGGTACGCAAGTGTGATAAATGTGGATCAAGTTCCCGTGGAGTATGACGATAAAATGGAGACTTTCCTGATGGTGTGTGACTCTTGCTCTTCCCACATAGTCGCAGCTGACTCAGTTTTCTCATCAGAGCGAAACATTAAAGTATCTATATCTCCTTTTTGCGGATTCGAGTGTGCTTCCTCTCAACGGTGAGTCACTCGTTTAATTGACGAGACGTAACTCATGTATCACATTGTTTTACAGAATATGTCTTCAACACGGAGGTAAGTCTGAAACATACATTTGTCATTCCGCAAATACTCAGATTTGGACAGGCGCATCCTTTGCCTGTGTTCAATCCAACTATACGCACCGGCTTTTCATAGTTGTTCGTGCTGTGCCATCGTCAGATTGTCTGGGCGTAATATTATTAGGCGACTTGTGTATCTAGGCTTACCAGTCATACTTGGACAATTTCGGCTTTACCATGTTCGCTTCGGACTATCCAACACCAATCAATATATTACACGATCCTCTAAAGTCTAAATAAACCGCCCAGTCCATTAAGTATAATAATAACAAGGACCGACACGGTAAGACGTGGAGCTCGGAGATGTAACGTGAGTTCGTAATGAATGAATTAGGAATGAACTAGGTCGTAATGGGTGTGGTGTGATGTGGTGTATTACTGATCAAATGCAATAGCATGATCTAAAGCGTCAGAGCAGCAGCCTGAGCGTAGGATAGACCCTTGCAAGTGGGAGATTCGGGGGCGAGAGAGATGAATTCCCAGGGCTCATTGATCTCAATGTCATGCCCAAAGTCATCAAGAGCAATGACCGCACGGACAGGTGGAAGGACTTCGAAGTCAGCATCTATGCACAACTTCGAGTCAGAATTACGACGAATGAAATCTGGCAGCACTGTACCTTGCGACTTGAATTGCTTCTTGGTCCTGAACGTCATGAAATCTGCAAGCGCCATCTTGGAGAAACCAGACTTGGTCCTCGGCGCTGGTGCGACATTGACGGGACGTCCCGATTCAGTGAGCATACGAGAGTCGAGCTCATCGCTATCCCAGGACTCCATGCCGGCCCTCTTAGCAGCCCTGCTGACATGCCCTTCCTTGAGGGCCGGTGCGGGTGCTCCAGCAGCCGCTCTCTCCTTGCGCTCCTTCACGTGTGTGTACTCCCGCCGCTCCTTTGTCTGGTGCCTAGCGCGCTCATAGGCACGCTGGTCCTTAGCACCGACTTCGGTGAGACGATTGGTTACCGTCTCATGCGGTTGTTCTGGGGATTTCTTGGAGGATGTGGTAGACATGAAGACGGGTTGAAGGACGATGTCTCACTTATATAGATAGGTGGAAGCGATATCCCACGGTGACGCCGGTGACGGAAGCATTGCCATTGGTCAAGGGGTAGGATATGTCAGGACCACGGGTACTGGTTTGAAGCGGAGGTAGCTGATATTAGCTCACAGCTTTACCAAGAAGGTATACTACTGACGAACGTTGTTATGACCAGCATCCCACAGAAGATAACGCGAATTAGGAAACTCCGATCGTATATAGCGTCACGTGATCAACCACTCAAACGTTCAATTCCGAATCCTAGTATTTTACTCCTTTCAGATTCCCTGATAGTATTTCAACACCGGTCTCTGATATCTACCCTGGTCCCCGGTCCCTCTACAGGCCACAGCATGTGCGTCTACATCTAGATGTTGTAAATGCACGTTTACCTGCAATGAACCTGGCTGATCATGACCGAATCACCGTTCGGAAGTGCCACCGTCACCATCGTCTACATACACAGCTATCTCTGCTGGCCCATCGCTCCACAGCACAAACCATATCGGGAACATTCTTGCACTCAAACGCCTGCGGATACCAACCGACTAGGACCTCAACACACTGCGCAGCCAAGATTCTGATCTGTTGGTTCTGAGCCAATATCCGTACGGACTGGGGAAACGACCTGGAAATTGATCGCGCTTGTGTCCGGCTACAGATTAGACTATCAGTGATCACCGTGTTTACACCTACTCATTCAAATAAAGTCCAAGAAAAAATGCGCCGAAAAAGGTGCACGGAAGACGATCGCAGTGTAAAGATTATGTCTCCATCAAAGTATGACCCGGCCTACGGATGAAAGTCTGGTGATACATGTTTTCGAACGAGCAATACTGACCCGCTTTATTGAAGCTCCAGAAGTGTACGTACATGCGGCCGTCGGTACATGATTCTCACAGTCTGTTTATGCTCAGGAGCGGCAGGGTTTGGGAGAAGACCATAGGCCATTTTGCTACAGAACACGGTCACTCTGGCTAAGCAACACGATAGCGATAAATATGATGATGTAGTGAGAATACCGTAGTAGATATTTAGGCAACTATATGTACCATTATATAGATACGCCCTTTTTTTGGGATGTGCTATAGCCAAGTGATGCACAGGAGGTTAGCAGTGTGCCCCTCCGAATAATTATGCTGGGAAGTAGGAATAAACAAAACATAGCGGATATTGGTGCCTGCAATAACCGGGACGACAGACGAAAGAAGATCTTGAAATATATCTGCAATTAAAGAGAGGCTGCATCGACCTGGGGGAGCTCAAGGGTCTTTTCATCGGTACTCCTAGTATCGTGATTTAGTTCTTCAAGGTGTGAATTTTGTTGTTGATCCTGTTGCACGAGGTCTGGCTGGTGGTGTTTGCCATTAGCGGCGCTGGGTCGGCGTGCACCTATATCGTCGCCAAATGTCGTCCAGTCCATGAAGTCACGCCGTACTTCGATGTAGTCGTTCGCAAATTCACCGATCTGACTCTTATTAGATTGATATAAAATCAAGAGCATGATAAGGCTTACCTCGACTTCGTCAAGACCGAGTTTCTCACCCTCAGCTGTTGTGCGTAGGTGGAGGCCAGGGATAGCGTTGATGCCCTTGGCGAGGAGAGCAGTAACAACGAATGTGTATGAACACGTCGCGCAGATATAGGCAACTTGGATGTAAAGCTGTTTCCAATTGTGATCGACCCAGCCACCAGGAACATTTGTGTTGACGCCATCTAACGCGATGATGGAACGGGAAGCGAAAAATGCGTTCATCAAGAGACCCAAGATCCCGCCGACAGCGTGCTCAGCAAAAAGATCGAGTGCATCATCCACACGAAGCAGAAGTTTAACTCAGGGTCCTGTTAATAAGTGCACTCCCGAGTAATCCAATAGTCACACCTTTAGTTGCGTAATTACACACAGCGCCGGTGATTATGCCCATGACGACTGCCGCCCATGGATGGATGTATCCTGAAGCAGGTGTGGCTGCTACGAGACCTGCGATGGTTCCAGAGCAGAACCCGACCATGGTGTACTTGCGCTCCAGACGATAGTCGAGGAGGCACCAAACGATGCCGCCAAATGCAGCAGCAAGCATAGAGTTCCACACCGCCATCACGGCGCGCAAATTCGCCCCAAAAGCGCTACCACCATTGAAACCTAGCCATCCAAACCAGAGCATGAATGTACCTAGGTTAACCATGGAAACATTGTGTGGTCTGAAGTTCTGAAGTTCTTTCTCCTGTCTGCGGCCAAGCACCCATGAATAAGCAAGTCCTCCTATCCCGCTTCCAATCTCCACGGGGCCTCCACCTTTAGGCGAAAAGATGTCAGAGAATACATATGGCAGTAAATATAATTAATTGACCTGCATAATCGAAAACGCCATATTTAAAGGCCCATCCGTTTATATTCCACGGCCAGCATGCGAGGGGGCAATAAACCAAGGTCATCCACAAAAAGGCGAAAATCATAGCCGGGAGAACCCGACCACGCTCGGCGATTCCACCCATCAGGATACCTACTGTGACGCATGCGAATTCCATCTGATAGAATGCGTACAACAGGTCGGGAATGAGTGGGGAACCTGGTGACGGGTCGCCAAGGACATTCATTAGGCCAAAGTTGGCAAGGTTGCCCATGAATCCATTGGTGGCAGTTGGCGAAAATGCCAACGAGTAACCCCAGAAGTACCACTGAAATATACAGACTGCATTGCTGGCACTAACTGCCCAGATAAGAGACAAAGCGGACTTTCTTCTTGCCAATCCGGAATATAGAAAAGCTGATGACACCGTAGGTGAGCAGATGGGAAACACAATGAGTGAGAAAGATTTGCGAACCAATACCCGGTATCATGAAAGATACCATGGCACCCGCCACGATTATAAAAGAGATATCTCCACGGTCGAACCTGTGGTATACAATGAGAATACTGCAACGACAGAAGACATATTGGCTCACTGAGTGGTATCTCCTGTAGCGCAAACGGTAACCCGGATTCAGCATTGATGTCGCACTATGACGGTTGTGGAACTCACTCTTCTTTAGAATAGCATTCCACACTTCCAAGATGTTCTCTTGCAGAACCATTACGTCGAGTATGATGGTCTGGAAAGGATGTAATACGTTTGGTGCTGAATATTCAGGCAGTCAGGTTGAGCCTGAGTCTGTCCGACCGTTGATGAACCAGTGACAACTTGATGTCGACCCTCGATGCGTGCTTGAGCTTTAAGGCCTGACATGCGCGTTAACTTGAAAAGTTGAATGAAATTTCATTGGTCAGATAACGAATCGCACTTGGCATAGTAAGTTTAGATAAACTACTAAGTAGACCCTGTCGCAGTCGTGACGGCCGACGCGTCCGTCACTCACGGGGACAACTTGGCTGTCAGAGGAAAACTTCCGATTAAGTCGCTCCCGAAAAATATTAGTCTTTGACGTTGACTCATAGGCTCCACACTACCGTCGAGCTCACATCCTACATTCCCTACTCGTTCAGACTCATTTCTAATGGGCGAACGACAACATATATTCGTCATCACTCGCGTCCGGACAGCGGGTTCAGGATCTACCAAGTACCGCTGTGTGGCAGCATATCACGTCACGCAATGTCAAGGCGCGATGGCGCTGTGCTGTCTTTATCGCTTTCTTGGCGTAGTGAAGCATGGGAGTAATAGGGAAGTAATAGAAGCAGAAACAAGCGCTCTGCACGAGAAGTATTGCAGTAACGAGGATCTACCAGCTGTCTGTTGCCCCTTCATTACTTTCCTCATGGCTATGTGCTGGAGCACAAAGTTCATCACCCCTGGCAACCCAAATGTTGGGTATACTCAATATTCTCCACTCGATGAGAATATTATTAGAAACGGCGGAACAGGTTTGTACCTTGAGAGAAACGTAGATGACAACTGAGTCTGTTCAGCAGACGATCAACAAGATATTACTGTGATTGACCTCACCGAGGTGAGGTCGCCAACATATTGCTTCGTTCATGTCGCAAGGACGGCAAACAGCGGTGTGGATGGAGGAATCCCACCTCCACGCGTGCCGCTCTCTGCGCGCCAATATCTGCATGCATATACAGACGGTGATTTACACGACGATGGGCATGTCACAAAACTTGACAGCGTAAAGCTGATAAACCTGGATACTCTGATATCAGTTTGGCCAAAGGAATACAAGAGGACTGAGATTCCCCAAGACGTTACTTCTTCGGGATCTGAGGCTTTTGACTTCACGCTCAGCGAGCAGGTCAGAAAGCTCGTCGGGATGCCTCTGCTACAATCAGTCGCACCAGAGCTAACGAAGAAGTCAAATGCACGAATTCCAACCATAACCATTACACAGGATACCCATGACGCATACGACATCGAACAAATGTATGATCTTTGGCGGGCTGGGAAAACGTTTCAGGTCTACGGCGCCTTGCAGGAATTAGTGCCATTTCCTCGTAACGGAATGCCGTTATTGCACAGTGTTGTCATGAAGAAGTTGAACGACAAGAATGGCCTGCTATCACTTGCGGACATAGCTCTACGAGACAATCAGGTCGAAGAAATTTTGAACATGCATGGGAACAAAATGAGAGGACTCGATCTATCCCATAATTCCTACCTCACGGCGAAGATCGTCCCAAGGATCCTGCAGCTTGCTCCGCACTTGAACAAATTGATAACTCTAGGTTGCCCTTTAATAGAAAATGACGACGTCTATAAGCTCCTGCGGGACAATAGGCATCTTTTTCGCTCACTCGATGCCTTATTGCATCCCTCTCTTTTGCAGCCTCTGGAGCTTGCGTGTGAAAACGCTCCCTACCCCATTGCTTTCTCTTACATACGAGCCTCAGGCACGCATAGCCATCCGGTTGCATGCGCCCTACCATTGCTCCAGCCGTCTGTCATAATCCGCGCTATCCTAGATCTGGTAGCATCGTTCCAGCCGTCCGTCATCACCCGCGCTATCATAAATCTCGTAGCAACCGGCCCCAGAGATTCCTCATGGCAACTTGATCTTCTGGAACGTGGATCCGCTGTCACTCCTGTCACTTTGTTCTCTGGGTTCCGCGAAGCACATAGCGAGAATAGGGAGGTTACGTGTATCCCGCAGTATTCACTGCGAGGTCTCCAAGGAGAAGGCTGGGTGTTTGCATTGTATACTCCACCGAGAGTGAGCTCTGGGGACGAACTGGAAAGAGATCGACGCCATGCGTATGCATTTATACGTTTCAAACCTCCCAAGAAAGTTGGAGAAGGAGAAACGACTGGTCCTGGTCTCAACGTCAATGTGGAGGGCGCTGAGATCCATACATTTCGGTCATGGCTCGACCAGCTTGAATTGGAGCACGGACATACTGCGCCTGCTGAGCTGGTCCAGGAGCTTGACCATCGTCTTTTGGACCTTCAGCTGGACGTCAATTATGGATTAAAACCAATGCTGGAAGATGATCTTCTTGCTTTTGTGGAGAGCATTCGGAGATCGCAATAAAGTGCAGGATAGCCGCGCGACCACGGCAGTAATAATGAGAGATCGTTTGGCTATAGTGCCTCGAAGTCAATAATGTTATGCATGCTTATTAGCATACAAGCACTCATGCATACACATAACCAACACACCACTCACTACTTAGACTCGTGACCATGATTTCATATTAGCTCGCCTTGCAACCGTCCAATCTGTGCCCACTCCAGTGAATCCGCAATCTCGAATGCCCTCCTGCATACCCTTGCGCAGGCCTGGAGGAATGATCGGTGACTGGGAGCGGCCAGTGACCCACAATTATTTTGGTAATGATTGCGTCGATTTTGCGTGCATGAATACTGCAGGAGGATGTGTCACTTACTGCCGCCGCAAATCATACAGACATGATGACATCGCTGCAGTGTGACCAGATGGTGAGTGCGCATCAACTGTGCCTACGGCAATGACCAGCTGCTTAGACCACCCAGTGTCCATTAGGGTTAGTTAGGGATAAACCCAGTGTGTCCTAGCCGAACAGCCGAAACATGTCAGATACTTAGATCATATGAGGGCAGTCTTGCTCCATAGGAGAGATAAAGCTTTGCCAGCGTCTGAGTGCATGCGAGAAAAATTAAAATTGGATCGAATTTTGGACGCGGTCACGTGTCACCACCAAACTCATCGGAATTGGGCAATGTTGGGGCAACGCCTTGACCTTCACGAGTCACGACGCACGTTTAGCTCCCGAAGAGAAAGTGGCCAACGTGATCATACTGGGACTCCTCCATCGAACGTGTCGAGCCGTTCATGGACAAACTCCCATCCCGGATACATCCCCCGCTGAAGCTTTCTTTTCATAAGAACGAGCATGCATGACTGCATACATAAGTTTTGCGACTCGGAGGACGTTGATCTATTATATATCCTGCAGAATAAAGGCATCGGATACGTCGAGTTATAGTAGGTGCTCGATTTCGGCCGACGGCCGCATGTCGTGCTCCTAACAGTTGGTATCGTACATGTTGTGCTGCACGGTCTATAGTTCCTAATAATTCTGGAATTTCCTTTGTAATCCAGTGCTTTCTGCTTTCTTGGTCTACATCCTGCAAGGTCCGCATGGACTTCGATATGAAAAGGACCGTCGCTTACCACTCGCCCTCCGCCTGGATTCTAGAAAGTACTCGCCCCGTCAACGTGACTCAGGAAAGGAGGTTTGGCCTCCTAAAATTTTCAAATCTGAAGTCCCCTCTTCTTTACAACCATGATCATGGCGGTTGGATTCTTGTCGCTTCCTACAGAGCTCATATGCCACATTCTAATCCTTCTTAGCCCCAGGGACATTAGTCGCTGTGCAATGGTCCGCTGTTTCCCATGGTTTCATATTTCCTCCAGGGCTAACGTTTAATCATGTTAGACCTGCAATACCTTTTCGGTTGTGGTCCAAAATTCTGTCCACATTCAATACAAGCTTGAAATCTATGCTCAGGGCTTGATTAGTACTGAGACCACTACCATGAACTCGATCGGCGTTTCCAGAAAGACACTGTTCGCTCAAGAAATTGGCATCTTTGTGGCGATCTGACTTCCGTGCGACCACCACCTTTGAAGCAGTGGTTCCCATAAATATTCTGCCGCCATTACTACTCCAATCTGTGAAATGTGGGCTTTGGTGGTCACCCGATACAGTGGACAATTTCTACATTCAGGATTGCAACACGAATCCCACACTCTACCCCACGTGGTCTATCCATGATATATTTCCACGACACTGGACTCCGTTGTATGATGCCTTCGACCCTCTGCAGGATCTTATGGTTGTAGTTTCTGAACCTGATGATTGTGTCGTGACTGGTGCAGAACAAGATCACGATATCTGTTGGATGGAGTTTCGACTGGCTTCATCGCAGCGTCCACATCCGGATGCTGCGTGCGCTTCCTTGGAGTGCAGACATACCTTTGATGCACCTGGCTATTACTGTGCTGCTTTGGATCCGCCTATAATCTGTGGTGATCGTGTATTTGTCATTTATTGCCTAGAGGGCATGGATGACTGGTTTGTATCCGGCATGTTCATACAAGTCATTGATTTGAGGAAGGGATTTGCATATAGCGTAAGTTCTCTCTGTCTGGAAAAATCTTGCTGCTCAACATAAGTAGCATTTTTTATGTCAACCGGAGGACTCATTGTGTCACCGTTACGATTTCCATCCAATCGACGAACAGAAGTTTGTCATCATTGGTTCAGACTCGATATACTTGTACACGTTACAAGGGCTCGATGGGCCGCCTCAGCGCCGAATTACATATCACCTTCCTAAGACACGCCATCTACCCACAGACGAAGTCATTCTCCATGGCCACCCATCATTCCGTGGCAAAGCAGCACGCCCAGGACTCATGCCCAGCTATGTTGCCCTCCCTGGAGTTGCAGATTATGGTTCTACAGTTTCTTTCCGAAGCGGGGAATGCTATCCTAGTCATCGATATGGCCATTTTCTCTGACATGGCCTTGCACTCAGATATGCCCGTCGAGATTCCTTGGTCAGACTGGGGACCTCAACATACGCATTACTTTCGGCACCACAAAAGCTACTGTCACGAATCTCGCGAAATCAGCGTGTTTGGCAGCAAAATGGCCTATGACCTTCCCCAAGATTATATTCCTGATCCAGGTCAAAGACTGAAAGGGCTCGCCACTGAGGGTTACTTCTATGTGCACATCTGGGACTTCAATAAGCGAGTCCTTGCTCGTTCGGATGTCAATGATCCTGACTCGCCAGATCTCCGCATTTGTAAGTCGGAGCAGGTGACTGACTCCTTCGGTAAAGATATCTTCTCGAGTCGTGCATTCATTGCAATGGTCTGTCGCACGCCTTTGCCGACAGGTGATTCCTGTATATTCTTGGAACAGGATCGGCTTACTGTGACATGGGTACGTGTTCTCTGTTTGAATATAGCAACGGTCTGATGTGACCGCATTGTAGGCTCGGGATCATGAAATTAGTATACAGGTCACTTCCCCCGTACCAATTCATTAGTGCCAAAGCAGCAGCCCGTCTAGGTATTTCCTCTTCTTCCGCTACTTAGTTTGCGTTGTAACATCTAGTACCTTGTATTGCATTTACACCAACCGCATGGGCTTTGTGCTTTGTGCTTGCACTGTACAACAAACCTTATAAACAATGGTCCATGACTCCTCGTAAGTGATGACCTCAGCACTTTTTCATCACTCTTGACCGGTCGTCGCCTTCGTTCGACTGGTCATGGATCACAGTCTCTTCGATGACTCCTGAAATGTATATTGACCCAGTGATCATGATTGGCTCCGAGAGATCCAAAAGGTACATAAACTTTGAAGAGCCACGACGGGCTTGTTCAGAACAAGTTTTGAAGTCGTACCTGCATCTGCTGACTCGAGTTTTTTTAGATGGGCCACTGTAGCACTCTGAGTTACTACTTTCCAATATTGCAACACTTATTCACCTCCGCTCCCGATTTCCCGTTCTCTGCCAGACTCTCTTCCCAATTTCGGCCCTACCATTCAGCCGCAGGTATTCAACGTTTATTATTGTCTACTACAGCAGCAGAACCACAAAGTACAAATATCCCCACGTGTATCAAGCGTAGGCTCTATGTGGAATAAGTACTCCAACTTGTGCGTGCTCATTCCACACAATTAACACCCAACACTGGCAGTCGGACTATGCACGCAGACTCGGATGTGATATTTTACACATACTGATACACAAAAAATGCTCTAGAAGTAGACGCAAACTCGTACAGAATGTCCTTTTACAAGACGAGCCGCGCAGCGGTAACCACTTGTAGTAACCACTTGAGTAAAGACCGGCACGTCAAGAACAAGAAGTTATGAACGAGTACAGTTACACTCTAACAACCCATAGAAAACAAGACATATCCAGCACCAGCGATCATCGTCAAATGTTCCGAAATCTATGAAGGAAGATCAACTGCGTAAAGTCAGATAAAACAACCGTGCTAAATTTTGCGGCCATCGGTCAGTGGCATCCATGCCAACTCGCCCTTGATAAGTCTATCAGACCATTATGAACATATATAGCACACAAACCAAACAATGACGCACGATCAACAACCTTGCCGCCCACTGCCTCTCAGCGAAATGTGCAGTACGCTTGAAGTCTGACCACTAAGGGTATCACGAGTGCCATGACGGGGATCGCGATCTTCCAAAATCTATGCGCGCGCATACGTCAGCCTCGAGTTTCATGCGAGGTCGGGACAGATGAGATACGTACAGGGCGTCGGAATGGTTATTGACACTCCACATGGATTTGAAATTCATTCCCTATGCAGTACGTTAGACTTAGTGCGGTAATTGAGATGGGAAGCAACACACAAAGTAACCCGTGAGCAATGTCAGCGGGAGGAATATGAGAGTTGCGAGGGTGAGGCGGTGCCTGATAGTCGACATGAACTCGAGACATACCGATGAAATAAAAAAATGCGCTCACATGATTACGTTCATCTCGTGTGATTTCATCTGTTGCTCACATCAATCAGCGCGAAAAAAAAATGAGATGAAGTAATTACTCACATTGAACGTGTAGTTGATCAGGTTTTCTGTGATCCCTGCGAACATATCCATGCTTGTAAGTATATATTCCATATGATCATATACGTCCGCCTGCCACAGCATCTCAACTCAGCCAAAACTTATACGAAGGGTTGAAAACAGTCACAACACACCAGGTATATTTTGCTCTTATGGGACATGAACCCCTTCACTTTCTCTTTGCTTTGCTCTTGTACCTCTTTCTCAGTAGGCGAGAGAAGTGCAGCACACCGTTCCTCGTCGTACCGCCGTAGCCCCAAAATCACTGTCTTGAGGGGCCCAAGGGTCCGCTTATGCAACATCAAATCACCGGAAAGCATATGCACTGGTTTCAGGGTTGTCAACGCAAATAGACACGGACAAGGGGGATAACGCGCACGCCTTGTAACCACTTTCATATCTGGCTTCATCAATACATCGTATTCCAACTGCAATATCTTCTCATGGAATGCATCCACTACCTCGAGTGCAGAGTCCACGATGAGGTCGAGCAGACTTTGAACAAGCAGACTAGGGTCTGCAGATGCACGCAGCCCCGTGTCAGGCTGTCGGAGACGCGCCATGATGGAACCTGTAAAGTCGATGAAATCGGATGGCATAACAGAGATCACTGTGCCTGTGTCAGGTAGAGTCAGCTATTGTCGGGATGCAGCTCAAACTCGAAGCATATACGTCAGAGCAAGAGCAAGAGTGCGCACAAGTCGCGGTATATGTCCATATAGTACTAGTGACTCAACGGTCAATGCTGGCTCAAAATCGGGATATATGCACCATAAATCATGATACATGTGGGCCACCGGATGTCTGCACACCCCAATCGGCATTAATTGATACAAGACAAGACAACCATGCCAAGATGGAAGTAATGTGGCGGGAAACGAACACAATGATGAAACAACAGGCAAATGAGTCCAGTACTCACCATCTCTCAATAAGAAAATTGATATCGGGTGAATGCAAACGTTCACGCGGCCTGCCTTTTTCAGATCAGTGAGAATCATCTGAGCTTTCTCCCGACGTTTTCGGGACTGCGCAGGGAGAACATTATGATGAGTATTGGTTTGAAGCTGTATTGATTAAGAGGAGAGGGGGGAAAAGATACCGTCGACAAAAGTGCAAATTGACATATGATGAATTGCGCTGAAGCAGGTCGGTGATAAAACAAAAGAAGAAGAAAGAAAATACAACAAGAAAAGACGTAAAATGAAAATGCGAGAGATACAACGCACCGCGCTCTCTTTCCGTGTAGCAGGCGTTAGCGGGGTTAAGCCGTCCTCCCTGGCCCTTGGCACACTCTCCGTGTCAGCTTTCGGTAACATTCTAGTCCTGATGGTGCTGCCAAGTCGCCAGGTTGCAGGTGCACTGCTGCCATGCATCTCGCTACCTTCATCCCCAGACTCTGCATGGACGTCGTTATCCTTGAAATACTCGTGGTAGTCCCCTGGCGTCATTGGACCTGGTGAGGAGCTACGTGGTAGGTCTTCGTCTTCTGGTGTGTAGGAGTTCGGAGATGAAAAGGAAGCGAGTGTATGAGATAAGACATGGATAAAGAGATGTTGACTGTAGTAGTCCATTTTAGAGCGCGTGTGTCCGTGTTTGTGCAGGATAACTTCAAGGGCGAGCGGGTGAAGGCCTACACACGATGATTATCAATACCTCGCATGGTGCATCATAACCATTTACATACCATACTTCAGGGCAAGCGCACTCATCACATCCCAGCTGATGCCGCATACATTTATCCACCTCACCTTCACCCACGGCTCCCTCTCTGAACTTCCCTCGTCATTCAACATTTGTACAAAACGCTCATTATCCATCTTTGCAAAGTTGCTCCTCACGGTGCTATAGTCGGCGATCTGGATCTCGCAGCGTTCGTGAATGTGTGCGTAATGAAAATATGCGGACTGCCTGCGCGGGTCGACTCCAGGTTCTGCACCGGCGAGACCGAAGCCCAAAAGGGCAGTTGTCTTCCGGTGCATGGATATCACTTTGCGAACACATGCACGGAAACGATCTTTAGGAGTTGGAAAATGGGGGGCAGGTACGCGTTTTAGTCGCAGTGAGGCCGTAAATATTGACGAGGATGTACCTCGCCGAGACTGAGGTACAGGCTCTTGAGAGAGTCGATTAGAGGGTGGAGACGGTCGGATATGAGCAGGAGATGCGGAATATCGCGGTGAACTCAGCGATGGCATGAATTCGTCCTCGAGGTCGGACGTGGAACATCCAACAGAGTCCCTGAAACTGTTTTCGCGAGGCAGGGTAAGTTGTGACCTTCGTTGGAATGAGTTTTTTGGTACCATTCCCTGGTATCTTCAAGGATTCAGCGTATGACACAAAAACAGTGGAGAGTAACTCGGCCCAAAAGTTATAAAGGGCTGGAGAGATGAATGGAAGATGTCTGAAAAAGGATCTGAGCTCGTAAGTATGAGACTAGGATCCTTTGAGTTTACGCTTTGCCTCCAACAAATTGAAGAACGTTGACTTACGTCGTGTTGGCGCTCGAGATAGCCGTGCGGTAGGGGAGGAGATAGGGCACAGGGTGTAAGTTTCATCCTATACATGGGGGAGTTGTTGGGGCCGAAGCAGGCTTAGAGATGTCGATGAGAAGAGAGTCGGAAGAGAAGTTGATAGTGGGCATTCGAAGTCTTCTAGTATGATCCTCGGTTTGGTAGTATCATGTATGACATATGACAGCATGACTCGCAGTGCGCGACTGCACATTGATGTTCGGATATCAAGCCGCAGTGCCCGGTATAAGTTTGAAACGTGGAAGCATCAAATTTTAATGATTCGTTCTACAAGGGAGATGGATTCCTTGAGTATCCGGATGCCAAGCGCCTTCAACGGCGTTAAGTTGGACCGTGACCGTGACCAGAGAAACTCAGAACATCAATGTAAATGAACCTTCGTATTTCACATTAGCTCACCTTGCAGCCGCCCAATTTTTGCATGCACACACTTCGGCGAGTCCATGCCGATATGCATGTCATGGTGCACAAGGCCTGGAATGCCTTCTTGAACACTTTTGCGCAAGTATTCATCGTCCATCGTCGCCGACCAAATACAATGGGCATAGGCGTCCAACCTGGATGGACATTCACGAACTTGTATGACTACTGAGCTCAGCGGTCAGCGACTATCATCCCTTCCGAATTAATTACTCAAACAAACGTTCTAAGCGGGAAGCCTTCTTGTGCCAGAACCTCGGTGAGCGAATTCAAGGCTAACAGTTATGAGTTGAAGTCACCAATGTGCCATAAACAACATAACTAATTTACCTGCTTTTCTACGAACACCAAATGCCTCAACGGCGCTTAACCAACACACTCACGTGGTGTTGAACTCCACAAGCGAGACTGCAGTGGTTGCTGCCAGGCTCGATACTTGAATGAGCATCCCCCCTCCGGATTCTCAAAGAATCTAACCGCCTCAAAGCTTACCGTTACTGTGCCCAAGAAATTGACATTCATGAGTGCCCTGTGGCACGGTCCAACAGCATCCCCTTCAACTCCTGAAATGTCGCCTGCCCCGCATTGTTATATACGATGTCGACATGCCTAAAGGGATCCTTGGCATGCACAAAGACAAATTTTACCTGCGCCACGTCTAGGGGGAGTACTATTAGGAGATGAGTGCGCGTCTACTGGGCCGTGAGGTCCTCAAGGACGGTGGGCTTGCGCAAAGTTGCAACGGCAATCTCACCATTACGCAACACTTCTTCCATCATCACCCTGCTGAATCCAGAGGAAGTAACTACGATTGGCAGCCAGTAACCCGCAAGGTGAGCAGTCATATGCACCAACTCACTCGAGGAGTGAATTGTGTCATAACAATTCTGCTCATGTTGCTCGTTGAAAACCATTCTACATGATATAGCCTCAACTCCAAAGCTCCGTGGCAATCGCTGTACATGGAGTCTATAATTATCTGCCTCTATCAGAGGGGTGATAGAAGCACCGCGACATGTGGAGAACCGATAGTCCAGAAGCTCTCGTAGGACCGATACTCGGCCCCAAGAATATTTGAGTCGAGAATTTGAAAATTCATACCAGACCATATATCACTCTATAATTGTTTGTCTCAGGGTTCAAGCTCTGATATATCCGCACAGAAGCATCGTGACATACGGAGAATCGCAATCGGTCCCGCGAACGGTCGAATATGCGCTCATTGGATGACGTTTTAGAGCGGCGAGTGTGACATCATGACTGCGATGCTCGTGACCTCAGGGCTTCACCGAGACCGCCAAAATATTTGGACTCCACTGCGCTCACTCGATCTTTGTGGTACCATTTCACATATCACCAAAGTAATGGGATTTGGTGGATGCTGGGATCCGCAGGACGATATATCCATTCGAAACTGTAACACCGTTTCCAAACTCTCCCGGATGTGGCCCGCACATTGTCTGTTTCCTTAACACCAGTTGTTGAGCTGGTTTACCATCGACCCTCTGCGAGATCTCCTCTTCGCCTGATTGTGACTTGAGTCATCGAGGGATAACCAGATTTTTCTTATCGACTTTGCTTACGAATGGCTATTCCTCCACCTACTTCGGGCTGATGTTAAAGGTTATGGCTTATGAAAGCCTAAGCTGCTCTTATTCATTTACCGAAGGTCTGGATGAAGAAATGTTCCCCTGGCGTGCTCCTCGTCTCTGGTAAGCTTGTGGGGGTAACACGGATGATGCTGGAACTAGGTAGACGATGCCGATACCTTTATTGGAGTACCTGTCCTGGGCGCTACTGGGAAATAGTATTCTTGTCCTCAATCCCTGCAATCGCATCTGAACGGTCATAGAAAACAACAAGAATACCATTTCTGCGCTACTTTCAAATCTCGATGTATCGCGACGACTCAGGCATTTGAAAATGGTTGGGTTATCGTCATGACCAAACGTGCACTTGTCAACATGGCATTTACCTAAATGATGAATCATACAGTTGAACTTCTCGTCGCTCCATGCATCTCTCCATCTACTTTTTGAGCAGAGCAGGTGCCACCAAACCAGCGGAAAGACCTTGGTCGCCAGCGTAAACTCCGTCTTTGATCTCGCCCCTGACAAACGATCAACAAAGTTTCCTTCAGTGCAAAACAGCCACTCACTCAATGCGCAACAATGCATTGTATTTTGCGACACGCTCGCTACGAGCGGGCGCACCGGTCTTGATTTGACCGGTTCCGAGGGCAACGACCAAATCAGCAATGATGGTGTTCTCCGTCTCACCAGAGCGGTGTGACACCATAACTCCCCAACCATCAGACTGAGCAAGTTGTGCACTAAAACATCGTTAGCCAGGGTTCATACCCATGGTAGCAGTAACGTACGCCTGGATGGATTCCGAGATGGTACCAATCTGGTTGATCTGAAAGTGCAAGTGTCAAACGACATGACTGTCTGAAAAATGATGAACACCAACCTTCAAGAGGAGACCATTGCATGCCTTCTTCTCAATAGCCGTCTTGATGCGAAGAGGGTTGGTAACAGTCAAGTCATCACCAACAATCTGGACTGAGCTATTTTTGGTGAAGTGGGTCCATGCCTCCCAATCGTCTTGGTCGAAAGGATCTTCGATGGAGACAATGGGGTACTTCTTGACGTAGCTGAGATAAAGGTCTGCGAGCTCAGTGCCAGAGATCCACTTCTGAGGGTCAGAGTTAGGGTTCTTGAAGTCAAGGTCGTATTTCCCGTCCTTGTAGAACTCGGATGAAGCAACATCAAGAGCAATCTTGATCTTGCCTTCGTATCCGGCCTTGCTGATGGCCTCCATGAGGAGCTCCAGAGACTCGTCAGCTCCCGAGACATTGGGAGCAAATCCACCTTCATCACCAACGTTGACGGCTGGAGCACATAATTCAACCCCGAATACAAATAGGACAACAATGCACACATTACATACCATCAATACCGTATTTTGCGCTGATGACCTTCTTCAGCGTGTGGTAGGTCTCTGTACCGATTTTCATCGCTTCGGTGAACGAAGTTGCACCGGTAGGAAGGAGCATGAACTCCTGGAATGCCAACTTATTGCCTGCGTGCGAACCACCGTTGATGACGTTAAACGCAGGACAAGGCATAATATAGGGGGGCTTGACACCAGCCAGCTCAGCGAGATGCTGGTATACAGGAACACCTTTCTCTGCAGCGCCAGCCTCCACGCATGCAATAGAAACGCCAAGAATAGCGTTGGCACCGAGCTTGCCCTTGTTAGGAGTGCCATCGAGCTTGATCAGGAGGTCGTCAATCTCTTTCTGCTGGGTGACCTTGAGGCCAGACTTGATAAGCTCTGGACCAAGAACAGTGTTCACGTTGTTGACGGCCTTGGAAACACCTGGGTGATGTTCAGTGGACGTGACTTGTGCTCATGAATAGGGATATGTACCCTTGCCCACGTAGTTGGCTTTGTCGCCATCGCGAAGCTCGACAGCTTCGTGGACACCAGTGGAGGCACCAGAGGGGACAGCAGCACGGAAACGACCTAAGAAATACGTGTAAGAGCAGAAAGTCCTAACGTTAGATCGCGTTCGATCTCGTACCTTTATCCGTGTAAAGGTCGACCTCAACGGTGGGGTTGCCACGAGAGTCAAAGATCTGCAAGTATTCAAGTCAAATTTTCAATTGGAGACATGAAGACTTACCTGGCGAGCGTGGACTTTGGTAGCAGACATGGAGGACAAAAGTCAAGATGGGGTGGTTCGGTTAAATCTCAATCGAAGGTTTATAGATAATCAGCTTATATGCTTTCCCACGCAGTCCTCGTACCAGATTTCGGGCATTTTCACAAATCTGGGTTATAAAGAGAGCTAGTGTCCTCACACTAGCGTGCCTGCCAATGGTATGACGCACGACCTCTAATAGATCCTTTCAAAAACCATCATGGTTACCATTCGACTGACGCTATTTAGTAAGGTTGGACCCGGAAAACTGCGTCGGGGAAAGGTCTCTATGCTGTCTTGATTACATGTCCTGCTTGCGCACAACATCCTCTGCCATCTTTTTTGCCAACCTTAGCGCCAGATCCTCATCGCGCTCAACAAGGGAGATGGGGATACGAGGAAATGGGGTATGGGAAGGCGCTGCTGCGCTCGATGTCATAGGCTGTAGGAAGAGAAAGCATGCGGAGCGGTTAGAGGCAGAATTTGGAACAGCTAGCTCGGTGATGGATATGTACAGGGGTGATATGGATGTGGCAGAACAGCACAGAATAGGTACGTGCGCGGCGTGAGTGCGGTGAGTGCTTGAGTTTTGACTTGAAAATATTAATGATAGTGGTGGTTGAGGTCTACCAATGAGTAATAATTTGACGCGTTCAGGGCACTTCGAAATGTCAACAGGGCTGGTACACACTCGTTACAAAGAGCTAATACATTAAAAAATGCGAGACGAGGAGAGATCAAACCGACCAAACTGAAGTTATAAGGGGGAAAGCGGGGGAGTACTAGTGAGAATATGTTGAAGCCGTTAGGCCACAATATTAAGCTGGAAGATGTCGAGCAGAGTCTGGGGTCTTATCGTTGTGAATGGCGTGCAGGGTTTCACGTTCAAAGGAACCGAGAAAGATCCGAATGTCAACTTTTGACAACAGGGTACCAGACACCGCTTTATACAGCAACATATAAACTAGTCAAGTATCAGCGCCGTTTACGTCCTTCACCCTTCTTGCCCACAGGAAGAGATCTCATCACAGCCGCCTTGTTTCGATTTTTGTTCTTCACATTAGTGTTAGTGTAGAAATTCGCCGCTTTTTTCTACATACTTGGTTAGCGTAGGAAATGAACAGCAACAAAAAAATGCCATACCTTGTTCGTCTTCATACGTGGATTCTTTGTCGGGGCAGTGGCCTCTATATCGGATGCGTCACCTGTAGACGTGATCAGTCTAAAAGATCGCGAACAAATGACACCATACCTTGCTCGGCCGAAGACAAATCAGCTTCAACAGCTTCGCTGACTGGCTCCTTCCCATCGTTGAAGACATCGTTCCAAGATAATTCGTCGACCTCATCTTCGTTGCCCTCCTCGCTACCGAGTTCGCTACCTTCATCCTCGGTTGATGTATGATCTTCGGGGGTGGCGGGAATTTCTTCATCCTCAACATCATCTTCATCCAACGGCTGCACGTCCTCGGCTAGGAACGTGTTTTTCTGTGTAATGGTCTTCAAATTCTGCTTGACCGCCAGAACCTCGCTCCCGCTGTCAACAGCCTTCGCTTTGCCCTTACTTCTCGCCTTTAATTTGGCTTCGGTTTTGTTCAGCTCCTCCGACCGCTCAGGGGGAGACACAAAAAATGGTATCCGGCCTCTCACCCAGTCGCTCAGTATGATTTTAGCGACACCATTTACATCTGGTTCGCCGCCTTTTAATAGTCGTCCCTTCATCCGCGCAAGAGTGTCCAAGAACTGTTCCGGATCCCACGAGCGAGAGGGATCGTCGGGGTCCGGAAGTGCGACACCATACGTTCGTGAGAGGTACAAAGGCTTGACGCGTGACATGAGTGCGGGAATGTGCTCAGACGGTACGGGAAGGGCTTCCACACGTAGCACGCCTTTCAGCACAGTGGACGCCTGGGAATCGTTTGCGGACGTGGGGACTACCCCGGGACAGTCGATGAGATATATCCGCCGGGTCAATGTGATATACTGCCAAACCTAAGCTCACAGAGTGAAATATATTGGGTTAGGCATTTTAACAGTAATTCTTGACGCGTACCTTGGTTTCTCCTGGTACAGGGGCAACGCGGCAGACCTTACCGCTCTTCAGCGTATTGATAACGCTGCTCTTGCCCACATTTGGGTATCCGACAAATCCAACGGAAATTTGCTTCTTATCTGAATGAAGCTGGGAGAATTGGCGAAGAAGTTGAATTAAAGAGCCCTTGCCGAACGAGTGATTCGGTGATGCGTGAAAGGCAATTGTAGGGTATCGAGGTGTTAGATGTTGGATATACCTTGCCTGCGGCACATTCAGCAGGGGCACGTACATAAAGTCACTAAAAGCTTACGGTAACCCAATTGGGAACTAAGTCACACTTGTTTATGACAAGAACAACTTGTTTGTGCGCTTTCTCTTTTTTCATATACTCGAGTACAGATTCGCACATGGTGCCAAGGGGGTCTCGAGCATCGAGGATGTGCAGGATAACGTCCGAAGAGTCAATAACCTTGTACAACTCCCCATAGATGCGTCTAGACGTTCCTTTGGCGAAAATGGGTTCAATATAGTCTGCGTGGGTTTTCAGTTCGGGAACTTCGAAAGATTGCGCTACAAAAACAAAAAGGTCAGAACATGTTTGAGTGAAGAGAATTACCATGTGATGAAACACCTAATTCTCGAGCATTGGCCGCTTGCTCTGCATCTTCCACTGCAGCTGTGCCTAATTTACTCAGTTCCTCAAAAGTGCCGACGTCAATCCTAGCCTTCTTGCGCTGAGCCTTGGGTCCAAAAGTTTCACTGAAAGGTTCCGTTTCTACGATGTGGGATCGCTACATAATATCAGCTCACAAGCAATGTAAAATCGGCTAGAACCTACCTTTCGAGTGTTAGGATTAGACGCATCGTCCAAGAGTGCCATGGGTAATTTATTCCGGCGAAGTAGCACTGAGTATGGGTCATCCTTCTTCGTCGAAAGACTCGTTCTGAAATGATCAAGAGCTGTCTGTGAGATCACTCGTGTATTGCCTATTATTTTTATTAGCAATAGCCTACACATATCCCGACGCAGCTCACCAAACCATCTACGATCGGGCTGAACTCGACCAGGTTTTGTCTCATCTTCTCCCTTCTGAAAAGCAGCAGCCTGAATTATCTTGCCATCCTTGTCGCGGATGGCCTTCCCCCCAGACAGCATCTTGAGACGGGAGACTTGTTTTGCATTGCGGTAAAAGTTCTCGCCTTTCACTTTTTTGAGTGATGGTTCCTTGGATCCAGAAGAGCGGACCTTGGGTGAAGCCTTGGTCTTTTTTATGGGCGCCATCGTGTGCTATACGGCTGTAACGCTCGAAGTCTTGATCTTCAAAACCTCAGGAAATGTACACAAAAATTCCCACGGCTCATTAATCTTCCTTGCCAACTTCAAGTTTTTGGACGGGGGCGCGTTGGGTTTGCTATGTTCAAGTCTTGCCTAGTTAACGGTGTGTTCAGCTTCATGATGTTCTGACTATTTCTGACAAAGTGTAGCTTCACAATCCGTCGCGTCGTCCAGCCGTTCATCACTCCATACTTCAGCAGTTCTCAATGCCCGCTTGTCGAGCAAACAAGCCCGACATGAGAAGATCTCCAAAGTGCAGGCACGCATAAATCATAAGCTCGCATTCGATGCGCAACGCGAATATGCTGTTCTCGGTCACCGTCCAGGGCAGGATCACAAATGGCGGAGCTGTGACCTTGCAAAGGCTGTCATCACGCAGGACGCGCTATACTCTGATTCTGTCCCTGAGATCATTCACAGTCCCGAAGGCGACATCGAGCTTCCGCCGCATCTAAGCTTTGGCGTTACTGGGAGGTCCAAGGAGCTGCTTTTCAAAGTGTTACCTCCGCTGTCGGCCCAGGAGGGCGTGACCAAGTTCAGCGAGGACGTAGTTAGCGAAATGCAGGAAGCGATGAAAAACGAAAAGACCAAAGCGAATATGTTCGCAAAGGTTATTGATTTACGCAATGCAAATGCGAAAGGTCTCGCATTCGAGAACCGCCGCCGTTGCCTCAAACTGTTTTCTCCCCCGGAAAATCCATTTGACACTGGCCGCCCTGAAGTACAAGGTGCTTACCACAGAATTTTCTCAACGCTGACTTGTGCTGAAGCTTCTGGATGTAGCCGCCTTGCTGACGATCCAAATACGCGGGCTATGGAAGCACCTTTTGGAATTCCGCAAGGACATAGACAACCGCAGGGGTCTTCGTCAGCTTGTACACAAGCGAGCCAAGATTCTTAAATATTTGAGGAAACTTGACCGTGACCGATATGAAGCTATTCTTCCTCGACTTGGGCTCGACGCCGCGAGTGTCGAAGGAGAACTAGTAGTTTGAATCATCTACAGCATTATTTTACCCAATATACTCAGTCGCTCTTGTTTGAATGACATTATTAATCATAAATTGTTCATCGGCATGGACACTGGAGAAGAGGATGTATGTATGTAGAATGTGTTGAAATTTGCTGCGTCAAGAAGTGTGTCCAGTAAGATTAAGACTCGGATTAAGTACGAATTTATAGGGCAGCAATTATGAGCAAATGTTATTGTTCTAATCAGAAGATAGGAAAGAAAGAGTTACTCAAATAAAAGTTATCCTCGTCGTAGAAGTCCCCATAATCAGCCTCGTCATCGTCCTCATCCTCAGAGTCAAAGAAACCGTGCCTAGGTAGAGGAACATAAGGCGGCCTTTCCATTTGCAAAGTGACTATGGAGTCAGAAGGTTTGAAGTCTGGTCTGCGGCCCTGCGGCGCTTCATAATCCTTGTAATAATCTTGATCTTCCACAGGCTCTTCAATGCCATGACTAATGTTACGAATCAGTAAGCGACAATATCTTGAGTGCGATGAGAAGAGCAGAACGTGCATTGTAGAAAGGTGATTCTTCATTTTGCCGATTTCATGGCATTCTCTCTCTGATGGCAAATCCATGCAGTGGACGCACAGCCAGATGATGCCTGCAGGTTGGGTGACATCCGCGAAAGATTGGAAATCGAAAATGGTTATATGCATCTCGCGAGCATTTCGATTGGACTCTTCGAGTAATTTACCCTCGAGTTTCTTCCATTTAGGTGGCTGACAGTCAGGGCGATGTCCCCGCATTCTGTGCTGAACCTACAAACCAGTAAGAAGCTGTGAAATCAGAAACATGGAACGGTAGAGTACAGACCGCTGAACGCCAAGTGAAGACGGGTACCTCGCCTTGATTCACCTCATCCTTTGACCACTTTATGCAGTCTAGGCAGGCCAAGCGGGGGTCTAACTCATCCATTTTGGTCGCAGTGGTGATGAGCGGGTCTTCACCGCATGCCTCCACAACGGTACGAGCAGCCTTGCTTGCCTGTTCATCCACCTGCAGAAGGTGGGTGTTCCACTTTGTGCGGGTGCTCATTGGATAATCAATCCGGAAGTTGGGGTCGTCCGTGGCAAAATAATCCCAAGGTAAGGTTTTCGATCTGGTTAGGCAACAATGTCCCATGACTTTGGGATAGAAAAGGGGAATGGATCTGGATCGACGTGCGCCCAGAATATCAAGGAAATCATCAAATTCACTATCGGATGAATCGCCCGGGAGTCCAATGGATGGCGTGCATGATTTGCAGCGAAATACAGTTGTCGCTAGCGGGATCATCTGATCGATCTCGGCGTCATCAGGTACCGGTAGCGATACTTCCTTGTTCTTGCCTTTGACGTCGATGGTGGCACCAAGGCTTTCCACGTACTCTTGATATAGTGGATCCGATGTTACTCGCTCCGCAGACGCACGTCGCTTTTCGGCAAAAAGCAAATTACTTTTGACTCTAGCCCTGAGCTGGGAGTGGATGCGAGTGCGCCAGGAGTGTACTAAATCATCCATCCGGGAAGCAACGTCCGCAAAGGATGCTTCGGTAACTTCTGTCTCCGTAGGCAGTCCAACAATTTCGATAACATCGGGAAAGGAACAGAAGTCCATTGCCTCCGGCATAACATCGGTGAATGGGAGGTGAGCGATCTTATAGCTACGCAGAACACCAATAGCGGTGCGCTTCCGGGCGATGAGCAGGGCTTTACGCTCGCGCGCAAGACGTCGTTTTCTCATCTCCTCCATGTACTTGATCATGTCATCCTTGATGTTATTCCAGACTGAACAACTGTTAAGAATTTAATTCGGAATCATCAAAAGAAAAACAGACTGCGATCCGTCAGGCGCGTAGGTTGCTTGACTAACTTGTGGTGGCTCAAGTCGTCCGTGTATGGAATATGTTCGATTTCTTCACCCCAACCAATTTCAGTAAGCCTTTCGATGATCCTAGGAAATGTCAGATTAAGCGTTGGGGAAATTGCGCTTGGTATCTTACGCGGTTTTCCTGTCCCGCCTAGCATCCTCCAGCTGATCGGACCGGTCTTTAGCCTGAGACGCCGCCCACGCTTCTAGCGCTTTTGCTTGCTGGACAAAAATGTTTACGATACCTATATCACAAGAAATGATTACTTACTGTCTCCATTTCCTTGACAAATATTCTCCGCTCTTCGCGATAGGCTTCAAGCCCGTCTGAACCTGTGAGTATATGCAAATTCTTCTGGACCTCTTCGACATCCTTGCGATAGAATAAAAGACGACCCCGTTCTGTAGATATGAACTCAAAATTATTCATTAGATGACGGATAAACGACACAGACTGCCATATTTACTCGGGACAAGTCCGCTGATTACGGACTCCCCATGGTAGGCATCTACCATGCTATTGATTCGATTAGTAAAGTTGTGCATTCAAAAAGATATGCGCACCAAGTCTTAGAGCACTTTGCGCAGATACGCCTGCCGATGCGCCAGTCAACGTTTCGCACACCAGGAGCACCGCATTCCTTTGCCTATATGTGAGATGAAATCATAATATGATTAAGATTGAGGGCATACGTGACAATGCGGATCAAAAGCAAGGTTAGCATAGTGGGGCTCGGTCCAGAAAGGGGGGCAATCTGGCATGTTTGGCACGTTGTCTCTAGCATTTTTCCATACGGACATTGAAGAACGATGCATGAGCACGCGTCTAAATTCTTTCGTCGTGCGAGCCAGACGAAGGATATCCAAAGGATTCAAGTGGCCAAAGACCTAAAGCATATTTGGACGCTAGACACATGAAGACCATAGCAAAAGGGGCAAACCTCGAATAAGACGTCCAGAGGTAAATTCATCAGGGCAGCAAGTTTTCCTGGCTTGGGCTGCCATTTACCTCTCCTTGCACCGGGTTTGACGACTTCGACGTTTTGCTGATTTCCGTCGACGTCAGACCCACGAGCACGCTTTTTGGGGGGTCTGCGGGACTTCTTGCCGTTATCGACGGGCGCTTGTGCAACCGAGCTTCGTGGTCGCATTGTCGACGAATTGCTAGGATGCCGCCAATCAAACAGAAGAATTATGATAGAAAAATTACTTTGATGACAGTGGAAAGAAACAAGAAACGGTAGGATTCGGTCGGAACCCAATTTCCATCGTCATGGACTCACTGAGTTTTCTAAGAAACGGCAATTTCCGCTCTTCAACGCGTCGCGTCTCCACGTGGGGTATACAGCGTATTATCATTCTTGCTTTGGCTTGAGTATATCATCATCACTGACGATGGCGGCGAATGTACCTCAGATATTGGCAGATACTCTGAGCGCAGATGCAAATACTAGGATCGCTGCTGAACTCAAGCTTTCCGAGGTTCTGCTTCATCAAGGCTGGTTTTCATAATCGCGACCATTCACTGCAAATCTGATGTTTAGCACGCGTTTATCAGAGGCAGCTATAGCCATAGCCCAGCTTATTTTAGCACAGGACGTGGATATCCCGCTCCGGCAGATAAGTTCTTTCCCATCTTGCTGCAATGTTTGCCTCTTTATCTCGGATGTTACCTAGCACTCAGCAAGCATTGTCCTCAGAAAATATGTCAAGGAACGATGGTCTCCATATTTTGAATCGTTCAAGGGCAATGCACCTTCAGTAGAGGTATGATCCTCGACATTATCCGGGTCCATCATATCGATCTTCCACAGGTCAAATCCCAAATACGCCACGCTGTCCTCCAAGGCTTGTCAGACTCGAACCGGAAAATCAGGTCTTTATGCGTGAGTTTCAACCAAACTTGAGCACATCGGCACACGTAGATCTCATGTTTATGCGAAGGCTCATACAATGTCATATATTGGGAACTGTGATTGGCCGGATGAATACCCTGAATTACTCAACTCCCTTATTGCCTTGATTTCTTCAAGTTCTCCTGACGCTGTGCATGGCGCGATGCAGGTGTTCACCGAATTTATAAAATCGGACCTCACCGAAGATCAAATTCTACCTGTATTGCGACAGCTTCTTCCTGTCTTGCTCGCTATCCTTGGATCCACGGAGGTGCGGTCCAGCTTCTGTTCTGAAGTTTAAATTGCAACTTAAATTCCGAGAATAGCAACATACGCCTCTGACTCGTGCACGAACTGTGTCCGTTTTTCGTCAATGCGTAACAGCACTCTACATGGTCAAAGATCAACATCCCCAAGCAGTGAAGGAGGCTACTGCGACCATCCTGCCAGTTTGGTTGGAGGCATTCAAAGTGCTTCTTAACCTTGACCCTTTGAAGGATGTATCCAATCAAGACAACTGGGATGGATTAGCTGTCAGAATCCAGGTTTTCAAGGTATTCAATTCGCTACACGATCCGACGGGCTTCCTGATACATGCAATTTAAGACACTAGACGTCATTCACACGTCATTCCCTCGTGCCATGACCTCGTACGTTTACGGTTATCTAGATGCATCCTTGCGTCACCTTCAGGTGATGTCCGAAACATATGACACATTCTACATCTCTGGATCCGGAAGTGCACCTGGGTCATCAGAGGAGGAAACAGTAGAAATACCGCACCTCATTTGCCCTTTGTTCGACTTTGTTTCGAATGTTGTCAGAGGGGGAAAAGCGAAGGAGTGGCTTCAGGTGGAAAATTTGACCAGTTTGGTCTCCGCGATTTTCAATTATTCACAGATGACAGCGGATGACGTTCGTCCTATCCACGTTTTTGTTTTTAGATGTTTATTGATTGACCGCAGGAAGAGACGTGGGCGACAAATGCTAATGCTTTCGTGGCACATGAAGAAGATGACACACAAGTCTATGGCGTCCGAGTTGCTGGCTTCGAGCTGCTATATGTGCGTGATGCGCTAGATGCATTCCGAAAGAAGTCTTATGCCCTCCACAGACTATTCTCAACCGTTCTCCTGCACAAATTTGTGCTACCTTCCAGACTACGATTCATCAGGTCATTGCAACATCACAGAGAACACGAGAAAGTGGGTCAACTGCTTGGTAAGTCACTGAAAATCGATTTCGTTCAACCTCATTAATTGGTTGAGCGCAGGTGGAAACCACTTGAAGCATCCTTGGCTGCGATTGGCTCTCAATCTGAAGATGTCCTCGAGTGCATTGAGAATGAACAGGATTCTGGTCGAGCAAAACCTATTGACGTGGAGGATTTGCTTGCCAATGTTGTTCCGTCAGTCTTAAACCAGTCTGGTATGCATCAGGCATCTTCATGCGGGGTTCATGTTATTTAATACTTCTTCAGACTTTCCATTCTTGCAAGGCAGAGGTTTCGTATTCGCGAGCCAGTTTGCCAGGCTATTGCCATTACAGATGGCTGGTCAGTATCTGGAAGCCGCTATGCATGTCATTGAATCGAATTCTGCTGGGATTCCCGTGAAAATATCTGCTGTCAAAGCTATCCACAAGTATGTGTTGTGTACTTCGAATGACACGCCTATCTAATGTCATAGCAGCTTCTGTGAGGGCGCGGAGGACTCGGCTATTATGCCTTTCGTGTCGCGGATTGCACAGGACCTCGGGCCATTCCTACTGGTAACAACTGAGGACACGCTATCCTTGGTTCTTGAGACGATGTCGGTTGTTCTAGATGTCAACAGGGCTCAATGGCTCACTACTGACTTGTCCAACTCTCTCGTATTGGCCGTCCTGGAAGTCTGGGCAAAGAATAACAAAGGTAGATTACCTCCCCTCCACATTTCAACAAACTAATCGGAGATCGTAGATCCCATCTTCTTATCAATTTTCGCCGAAATATTCACCTCGCTGGCCTCTTCGACTGGCACAGGAGTGTACGAAACGGTTGTTAAACAGGCACTTCCCACCCTCTGTACTTCCATCGCGAGTTCCAAACCTCAAGAAGCCTGGATAGCAGGGTCTGCCATTGACTTGATCTCAAGCCTCGTTCGCGGTGCACCCGAAGGTGGCCTTGGAGACGGCTTCTTCGCTCTCCTAGCACCTAGCTTGTTTAGCTGCCTCAGTGAAGCGGAGGATCGTGATGTTCTACAAAACGGCATGGCGTGTCTTGCTCTAATAGTCCGCAAAGATTGCAGGCAGATCCTAGAATGGCGGGACCCATCCGGTCAATCCGGTCTCGATCATATCATGAAGGTTATTGCGAAGCTCCTGCAAAATGATGATGAATCCGGTGGTTTGGTCATTGGTGATCTCATCATCCACTTGCTGCGCCATGCAGGTGAAGCTGTTCTCCCAGTACTTCCAGAGCTTCTTCAAGCTATGGTATTACGGATGCTATCGGCCAAGACGGCCACTTTCATCCAGAGCCTCGTTATTCCATTCGCGTTCCTCGCCTACAACCAGCAGGACACAGTATTGTACTTGCTGGAATCGACTACGACGAATGGCAAAAACGGTCTTGATATTCTCATACAGACGTGGTGTGAGAACGCAGAAACGTTCCAGGGCTTCTGGCAATCGCGTGTTAGCACACTGGCGCTCACAAAATTGTACGCCTCTGGTCGGCCAAGCCTGCAATCATTGATGGTCAAGGGCGATATTATCTTGAAGCCAGAGACGAAGAACGGTGAGTCTTCCTTCTGCATAAACAACCATTCGTTTCCGGATATTCAACGGTTTCTGTTTGTGCTTCGGGGACAGTGATCATGACCCGGTCGCGAACGAAGACGAGTATGCATCATTTACCTATCTCTGGTTTTCTTTGCTCGGTTTGATGCTGACTTTTGGCGGTGCAGCACCCCATGAATTTACATCAGTGCCTTTCCCTGTGAAGGCACTTAAACTGTTAGTGCACGACCTCAGAGCTGGGGGTGATTCTGCGACGATCCCCAAAGCTGAATTTGATGTAGACTCCGACGATGGTGTACGTACTGTTTGCATGCTCCTTTATACGTCCTGCTAAGCGATTGACAGGATGAAGAATGGACAGAAGAAGAGCAACAGAATCAGGGCTTCAAGCAAGAAGAATTTGCCTTCCTTTCCGAGATGCTGGGTCCCCGCGGCGTCAACTTTGACAATGACGACATTCTGGAAGAGACGGATGATGAAGACCTCAGAAACGATGGTATCTCTCAGATTGACATGCAGGTAAGTCTAGCTGGTTTGAAGGCAACTCGTACGTGCCTGACAGGTCTTTCAGGCACATTTGGTGACATTCTTCAAAGAATGCGCAGCGCACAATGTCAACAACTTTTCCGCAAACATGGACCAATTGTCGGCTGAAGAGATCATGGTTGTGCGCCACGCCATTGATCACTGAATTTGGATGGTCAGTTTCCTACTACAAAAACATATTGTACATGAAAGCAAGAGCGTTACGTGTGATGGTATCCTGTCTCATAGATACAAATGAGTATTCCTGACAAGCAGCTCTTAAAAACCCTCCTTCCCCAAGTCCCATTCTCGAACGGTCCCCCTTTTCTTGTACTCAATGTCCATAATGTTATCGCCTCCACTAGCCCAACGATCAGCAACTCCACTGTCTGTATCTTTCTTGTTGACCTTGTCTTTTGATATTCCGAGACGTTCAAGACGCTTCTTTTCAGCTTTATCTTCTCGCCGTTGCCGAATGAGTTCAAGCATGGCATCCCAACCCTCGAACTCTGCGTCACTGACCAAGCCAGTAGCAGGTACGTTGGGGACAGGGAGTGTTGCAACGTCGAGTCGAGGGTCGTAAGATTCTTGAAAGTATTTGTCCATCTTTGAGGGAAGCTGCGCGGGTGGTAAAGGAGGGGGTGACGAAGATGGTGACCGAGCGTTGTGGTGTGAACCTGACGAAGCGACTGCGCGTCGGGGTCGGCGCGGAGGGGAAGGTGAAAGGGTACGAGGGGGCGGTTTGGTAAATTCGGCGGAAGCTCCTGCTTTGCCGTTGAAAGAAGATAGAACTTCCTCTGTGAACTCTACAGCTTCATCGTCTGGGGATGTTTGGGATGACCGGGAAGGAGACCGAGTGGTACGACAACTCAAATACCGCGTCTGCTTGGTCTTTCTATTATCATCGTCAGATAAAGATACTGATCGCGTTCTTTTCCTGGAGACTGGAATTGCTGGAACAGGCTGGGTTGGTGACTCGGGGCGACGTGGAGAAGTAGAATGGCTTGTATGGCGTCTTTGCCTTCGGGAATTGTCGTCATCGTGTCGTCTATGTCTTCTATGTCGACGGTTATCAGAAGAACTAATTCTCTCGGAAGGTGGTGATCGCCGGTTGCTTGTCCTGTGCTTCGCATCACTATCCCGTTCCTTTGATGCTGAACGTGATCGATGTCTCCTGCTGCTGGGCCTATTTCTGTAGTAACTGTCATCATCTTTATTAGTCTTGTGATGCCTCCCAGAACTCTTTTCTTTCCCCCTGTCCCTGTCTTTGTCTCTCCGTTGGTCACGTTCCCTTCGACCATCCCAACCATGTTCATCATGGTCAGGTCTCCGTCTCCGCATGCGCTCGGCAGCAGCAGCCTCTTCGGCACGAGCCTTCCTATCTCTGCGCTCTCGCTCATCTTTCTCCCGTTTAATTTCCTGTGCAGCAAGCGCCTGTGCGCGGAGTATAGTCTTGTTGTGATCATCTGTGCTCTTGATGATTGAAGTGAGGAAACGCTTGTTCGGGCGAGGCGCATTTGGGTCAGGCCTAAACAAATAAGTGGATGGTTTGATTTTTTTAGATAGTGAACCCACGCAGTTGGAAGATATGCCCTAATTCCAAGTGTGCCGTAGCTTTCGGCCTTCTGTTTGGCTTCCCTCAAGATGAGCTCTGCGACATGTCTGTCGAGGTCGTCGTCAGTGATGGACGGAGAAACGGCTGTCCCCATGGACGCCCGAACGAGGTTTGAAACGACAGAGGATAGCGACGACTTGGACATGATTGACGACGTCTCTGCGAGTCTTCGGCAATCCCACAGCTACGTTTGTCATTGTTTGGCTCATTGTGGCTTTCGGCGCTAGGCGCGGATCATAATGCATTTTCGGCGAGCGAACTTCAATTGACTCGAGTACGATATACATGACAGATATTCCTTCTGAAATCAAAGTTTTCCGCAGGCATCGGCTCACCGCCTGATCTGCTAAGTTGACTCTTTACACAAGACTCGGTACCAAGTACGAGAAGGTCTTTGTCTGGTCTCGCGTGATAGTTTCTCCGTAGACGACGCATGTTGTGCTCAGGGGAGCTCCGCGGATCGACTTGTCAAGTTGTAGAGTTCTATGATGATTCGTTTTCAAGGCCTTTTTGTTTCCGATACAATAGCAAGGTTCATACTCAGTAATGGAAGGTCATCGACATACGTGTTATTATATTTCACGAGCAAGCGACGATATTCCCCAGACGTCGAGTTCCCTTATTGTTTGACGTCAATGATGTTAAAGCGGCTGGGACCAACTCGTGGAAACCCCGAGCTGTATCACAATCAGTCTCCTTGAAAGCTGTTGTATGTGGCACGATCCCCCCCTGTTCCATCTCTCCGTTCTGATCAAGTGGGATGACCTCATCAAAGCGCGGCCTCTTGCTGAAATCACGATCTCAGTCCGAGCAAGAACGTAATTGCCGATAGGTCACCAGTGAACGTTCCCTAACTCCCTCTAATGAGCGGGTGCAACCGCGGGCCTTTCAAAGCGTTCATTACGGTTTATTACCTGTGAGAACACAACGGTCGCGTGTAAACCTGTGTAAACCTACTAGTAGGTGCCTTAGCAAATCAGGGGGAAGTCCAAACTTTTCTGAGAAAATACCATTTCGCCTCCGGCTCGCTGAAGCAGAACCCAGAACCCTTTAAGTAGAACATCATTTCGCATCCGACTCGATTTGAAGCAACTATGTGCCGTCTGCGATTAATTGGTACACGGTCATTGCGGCATCGAGCGGGGTTCAAGTTGTGGGGGATTTAGTCTATCGATTGCGATTGAGTGGAGCAGATCGCTTTGTCTGAGAAGGGCTGTCCGCGCGGCAACAACCGACAGTGGGTTGCCCCTAACAGTGGAAGAATGTTCATGACAGAACGGAAGGACGATAAAGTGAGTCATAATGACGGACGGTGACCGTAAGTCGTGGGATGTAAACCACTGGCACTGAAATCAGGGGAATATCGATAAATCCGAGTCGCCTGAAGACATAGGAAAGTGCATGTCCCTACTATGACCCTCGTAATTGAAGGAAGACTTCTCAATCGATGATGTGTACAGACCATCGGAGAATTTGTGGGCTCTTTGAGGGTTTCGTTCCAGTAAACGTATAAGCTTCGTTAACGTTTCGATCTAAAAATGGAAGGTGTGAACCATGTGGACGGAGGTAATAGCCCACACCATCACAAGGGTTCGGAACAGCGTGCATCTCGTCATTCACCGACGGCAGTGTCAGAAATTTGTTACCGTCACTTCACTTCACCGTCTTCATATAAATATGAGGCCGTGCGTTGCACTGAATTCAATTTTCAGCCTGCAAGTGCAGGTCAATCTTCTATACATCACGTCTCTTAATCAGTGATCTAATATCATGACTCTCTGCGGATACTTACCATATTCCGGACCTCTGATGGTGAGTAGTTTCATACAGGCCGTCGAGGCGCATATTGACGGCCCATCTGCAGGTTGTGGAACACGAAATATCACTCAAATTCACGACCAGTCCTTCATGCTCTCCTCACGACTCAGAAGTTTACGACAACATTCGAACACCGCGCGTGCCCGCTAGCGGCATCCCTATCGAGATCGTGCTGACCATTTTGGAGGCCGCGTACTTCGACGATAGAGGTGGTCCTGACATCGACCTCTTAAGCAAGTGCACACTTGTATGCAGAGCATGGTCGCTGAGTGCTCAAAAACTCTTGTTTCGACGAGTTCGCCTCGGCTCGCATTCGGCGTTTACTTCATTTACTCACGCTGTCAACCGCAATTCCCCGCGCGGGAGAATACTGGGTGACGCCGTCGTTCAAATCCGTGCGGTCCTTGATTATAACCAGCCTGGTTGCCTCAACCAATCATCACTCGCTATTGCAGTGGCTAATTGCCCTAATTTGTATGAGCTTGACCTTGCTCAGTACGGGTCCGTGGCTCCTGGTAAAGATGTCGTTGGAAGTCCTGCCCAAGAACGCATGCGGCGTCCCGCCCCGTCTTTTGACGAGCACTCTCTGGCATTACTTAGCGCTGGCCCGCGCATCACGGCTTTGAACTTCAGTAATTGGTCGGAGAACAATCAAGCTGTTCTCCAACTTCTTGATGTTTGGCCTTCTTTGAAGTCACTCTCCATCACTGGAACATCCCCCGTTCTATCTCCTGACGTGACGTATCCACCATTCCCCTGTGCTCTGGAAGAATTGCGCTTGAACTGCCAAAGAGAACCTGCCAAGGAATTTCTTGACTGGCTCTTGCATCGCTCCGCGGAAGAAAAGAGTTTACGAGTCATCGACTTGGAACGTCAACCAAGCCCCGAGCTTTTAGACTTCCTCGTCGAGAAGCACGGCGAAACGTTGCATTCGTTAGCCATTCCATCTTTTGCCATGCATGAGCATGCACATGCTGCGATGCGATGCCGTTCTCTTCGTGAGCTTCGCACTGAAAGCTCATGGTCTTCTCCTGTCATTTGTCGTCAAATGCCAGAGACTATACAACACTTAGCATTCGGGCTGGACCTGGAGACCCCTCTCAATCCTATTATTGATCTCATCAAGACTCGCGACGACCTGCAAGCTGTCACAGTCAACCTTTGGGGCGACGGCCACCGTCATCCGCAGTTCGCATCTCTTCAGATGGCGTGTGCGTACCGCGGTGTTGACCTCCGTCTAACGCGGGACGTGCGAAGGATGCGCTTGTTAGTAGTGAGCATACAGCCTTCTTTCCTGCTGTAAATTGGCATTAATCGACCGAATAGCGCGGCGATCCAGTTGTGCCGCCGACGTACCCGCGCACTCGGACTCTCGACAGTATGCAACCTACTGTCCGCCCTGTTTTTGTGGCATAATCCGACGATTGTGATTCCGTCATGACACTTGAATGCCATTACCTACGAGTACCAATCTATTTGTCAAATATTGTAACGCCAACCCCCGCTCTACGTCGACTTTTGCATTATCATCTTCTAATTACACACCTTATTCGTTCATGAATATTCTCTATTGTAGCTCTTGGAATACGTATCAGTCATATACATCAATATGACAGAAACTATTACCCTATTGCACAGGCTCAACCAAAATTTGATTCATTCCTGACCTCAGTACTCAGTCATGGTCTCGTTCCTTCTTTTTCAAGGGTCACGGTGATAAACGGCAAAGATAAATCCAATTCGAAGTGGTTATAACTTATTGCGCTCAAATCTTGCACACGCTGGGGCTAGCTTTGAGTCTTCGACCCCTGCACGGTGCGTTATTCATTTTTGTTGGTTTTGAAACATTCATGAACTATGTCAGTAGCAGTCGACAATGACTACGGTGGCCTCGACGTCCAGCGAGCTGTCGAGCCTTCCAGACGTTCTCTCTGGCTCGGTGCTCGCGTCAAGCTCAACCAATCTTGATTTTCTCGCCAAATTGCCCACCAATGCGCTCTCAGACTTGCTGTCGACGCCGACCGCCCTCACGACTCAATCTCACACATTGACTTCTTCACTCACTGCTTTGACACACACATCTTATCCTACCTTTCTTTCCCTTCACCACACATCAACAGCCCTGTTGACATCGCTCTCTTCGTTTGACACGTCACTCAATTCTCTAATCAATGCCGCTCTACCAGCTCTTGATGATGCTGCACGCCTTTTTCGCGAGAAGACCGGTCCAGAGGTTATCGAGGGAAGGCAGAAGGCACGCATTGTACTGGAGCAGCACGACAAACTGTGTGACTTGCTTGATGTTCCAGTTCTCATTGACACATGCGTCCGCAACGGGCTCTATGCAGAAGCTCTTTCACTGGCTGCCCACGCATCATCTGTGTTGTCTACTCTAATCGCTCAAAGTAGGAAGAGTCCCAGCGATGACGAAGAAGCTGCGCACGGTTTGCCGCTTCAACTCGCAGATTCCTTACAAGCTGAGATAGCTTCCTCGCTGCATTCCATGCAGCTCATCCTCCTGAACACGTTATATGTACCCGCTCGCAAGCTGCCAGCGTTCTGGAAAGCAGTACAATTTCTTCGTCGAATGAAGGCGATACACGAGGACGAACTAGCACTCGTATTCATCAGCGCTCGAATTGGATGCCTTCGTGATAGCTTGGATGGCATTGAAAGGGATGCTGGTATACCTTCGGATACTGGAAGTCTGGATTTCAAATTCTCAGCTGGAAGCACTGTAGAGGAAAGAGAACGGGAGATTGATAGGGAGGCTGATGACATCGCCCGGTTCTTGAAGAAATACATTGATGTCTGGAGGGAGGGCGCGTACGATCTTGTCACGCAATATACAACGATATTTCTCGACCGTTCGCATGCTGGAGCACGGATAGCACCACCTGCAGATGAGGATGCCGAGACATCCTCTTATATCATCCGACAAACATTGCCTTCGACACTTCTGGAGCTGCTCCTTCCGACTCTCCGGTCGTATCTTGAACGTGCTTATCCCCACCTCGCACCTCTTGCGACACAGCTTGCCTATTGTAGTTCTGCTTTAGCACGCGTAGGGATGGTAAGTGTCATACACTTTTAATTCAACTCGCATTAAATTAGTGCGCATGCAGGATTTTCGTGCGCTACTATCATCACTGATTTCACGATCAATTGTTAACGGGTTTGTACGAGACGTACGACTCGGCGTGGAACACGAGTGGTCTGGAGTGCTAGCCAAGCACGTCACGAGCAGACCCAAGCCCTCTGCTCCTTCGGTTTGGCTGGTAGCTACGCCTAACAGTGTGCCTGCGTTCAAGACGCTCGCTCTCTCTCCATCCAATGCTTCGCATTCTCCGCCGCAAGTGCTGACTACCTTCCCGCCGCTTGCGAAAATGTTGAACGCATATATCCGTGCGCTAAACAGGTTACGCATGCTTGCGCCTGTTGATGCTTTGTCGGGCGTCATGGATGGTGCCGAAGAGTGTCTTGCAAATGCAGGTCACAGTCTACTACAATATGCCAAGGACTGGCGAGGTGGGGATGCGAAGGAGATACAAATTCTGCAAGCAGCTGGGGCAGCATATACACGAGTCCTTGTTCCTTGGGTGCAGCGCGCTATTGTAGAGGGTGTTTTCAGTTCTTCACTCGAGAATCGTCAGTCTGCTGCTGATGGAGATCTCGATGGAGGTGAAGAAGGTAAACGTGAGTTATCCCTCATAGTTAGAGAATGGGAGAACTGGCTAGGTTCCACAGGAATATAATATGGAGATGCGATAACAAAGCGATCGATGCCCTTGACCTTGATTTGTTGTCTGATTGTGAGTGTTCTTGATGCCATGAACCAATGAGCCAGGACGACCTTGCCACCCATTGGCCACCCACATAGTTACGTGGTTCGTTCTGCTTAGAAATGTATATTGAAATATGACACTTCTTTCCGATCAATGGAGGTGTCCGAGTCCACCTTGTCGGGAATGTCTTGCTAGGAATGCTCCACGGCGCTCCGACGTGCAACCGCCTTGCATGTAGCACTCCCAAAACAAAGGGGCGGCACATCAGACTAATAGCGATGCTAAGTATGACTGCTGCAGGGGCACGTGCTAAGAACACATGCTTTTTCGTTCGCCGGCGCGTGTGGACTGGCACTTTTTTTATCACTTATGCATTGACCAACTTGACATACTGGCGTGATTGTTCAGTAGTGATTTTTGCCTATTTCCCGCGCTCATGGGCTGTAGCCTCAGCTCTCAGGTCACGCGTTGAATCAGGGGTCATAGTCGACCCTCGAAACGTACCGAGGTCCGACCGACGCACAAACTTCGCGCCGGTATCGCAGACCAATCCGCTTCTGAATAATGCTCAGAATGACTGAGTGGTTAAATAATTGGCTGCTTGTGCGTGTAGCAAGGGCCTTGGAAAACTCTACCATTTTTTTTACCTATAGAACGGTTCCCCTTACCTCACTTGTGTACGCGAGAACTTGATGTGTCAAGCCTTTACCAGATCAAAGAATTCCTTCTCTTTGATCCCGGACCGCATGACCCCGTCATGCGTGACGCTGGATGAATAGATCTTGCTCCGCTTATAATTCAGAACTTATACTTAAGCACGCCTGCTTAGCAGCAGGACTTCTCCAGCCACCTTTTCTTAGACATTCGTTTCACTAGAACATGGCAAGAGATGTACCAACGAGTCGTAGAGCAGTCTTGCTCGCCATTTTCATCGCATTTGGTGAGTTCACTCTTGTCATTGCCATCTTGTGCTCATTGAACTCTTCCTTGCAGGAGGTGCGCGGGTATCATATACAGACCATAGAATGTACGTCGTTTATCAGCAACTGCAAGCCTCTCATTTCTCTGCTTACATGGGCAGTAGATTGATACACATACTGTGATATAGGCTTCTTGTTCGGGTATGATATGGGTGTCATTTCCGTATGTACTCAGACTTCTTCTCAAGTCCTTGACATGTCTGGACTGTTCGTCTACTCTAGGGATGCCTGATTATGCCAGACTTTATCCGCCGATTCGGCCAAGAAGAAACGGATGGCCAGTACTACCTGTCAAGTTCGAGACAATCGATCATTGTCTCTCTTCTGTCGGCTGGGTAAGACCGCGATACCTGCTTCTAATATGTGCTGATATTCACACCCATCGTAGTACATTCTGGTGGGGAAAATGGATCTTGTGATTCTTATAATAATCTGACGATACCTAAAGTGGAGCTATCGCTCAAGCTTTCACATCTGATCGCCTAGGACGCCGTGGATCCATTCTGTTCTGGTCGGCTATCTTTACTGTCGGTGTGGCTGTCCAAACTGGCACGACATACTCTCTTGTTCAGTTGGTCATAGGGCGTTATATTGCAGGGTTAGGTGTTGGCTCATTGTCAGGTCGGTGCTGATTTCAGGATGTGCCTTTGTGAATCTGACTACATTTATTCAGCTATTGTGCCCCTGTACAATGGAGAAACAGCTCCAAAAGCTATTCGGGGCACGATTTTGGTCATCTATCAAGTCCAAATCATCTCGGGGTCCGTCAAGTATCCATCCTCCATTGGAACACCTGTTAAAGCTTGTTATCTAGCATATTTTTGAGTTATGTTTTTCAACTCGGAAGTCACACGATCAACAACTCTGCGTCTTGGCGACTCCCTATCGGATTACAAATGGTCTGGGGTATCATACTTTTGTCTGGGATGTTTTTCCTTCCAGAATCTCCGTATGTGTAACTTCTGAAAAGCTCTCATTCCAAACTAACGAAATTTACCTTTATTAGCCGACACCTTCTCGGAACTGGACGAGGTGACGAAGCGCGCAAGGTCGTTGCAGAGCTAAACGGAGTCCCTGAAGACGACCCTCTTGTTGCTGAGGTTGTCGAAGAACTCGATTTTGCTATCAAAGCAGAGAATGAAGGTGGCAAAGCAACTTGGTTAGAATGCTTCTCCACGAGAAATGCACTGTGGCGTCGGACAATGAATGGCATGATGCTTCAATTTATTCAGCAGCTCAACGGCCAGAACTTTTACTGTAAGATTCAGATCCTTCATGCCGGTTGATTTTGACCTCTGATAGCTATTGTCGACAGACTACTATGGCGACACCTTCTTTCAGAATGCAGGTGCAGGGCAAGTCTTAGATCTCTCCACTTAATGTAGCTTGGCTCATGTAATGGCAGGCTTTCACCTTATATCATCCAGACGGTTCTTGGAGCGGTGTCAGTGTTTGGAACTCTCCCCGCGTTATACTTCATCGAGACTTGGGGTCGCCGAAAGGTATTTATTCCTTCTTCCACTAATCGATTGGAGGGGGAATTAACTTTTTTTTCCCAGTCACTGCTCCTTGGCGCATGTGCCCAAGCTGTCTGTGCGCTAATTGTCTGTGCACATATTCGTTGGTAAACAGTGCTGGACTGATACTTCCGCTAGGTTGCTGTGGTTGGGCATACTACCCTTGCGCCTACTGGAACACCAATTTCAGCACTCACTGCTCGTAATAGAGCCGGGGGTGACGTTGTCATTGCTTTTGCAATATTTCAAGTGTTTATCTTCGGCACGACTTGGGGACCTACTCCGTGGGTATACCTCGGAGAGTCTTTCCCTCTTCGAGTGCGCCCCAAGTCAATCGCTCTTGGCAGCGCGACAAGTACGATTGCCCTCTGTTAAGATATTCAAATTCGTTGCTCACGCTTGTCCAAGACTGGTTCTGGAACTTCATGCTTTCGTTCTTTTCTCCAAGGATTGTGGATCGGTGAGTCTAAACTACAGCCAAATGTCCTGACACATTTCTCGGTATCTGAACACATCACCAGGATTGGTCCACTGATAATGTTGGTCTTCTTTGGCATGCTTGTCTTTGGATACATCTACGTGTATTTTGCCATTCCTGAAACAAAAGGTCTAACTTTAGAAGAGGTATTGATTCGTTCACGTTCTAAATTGCTGCCCATCTAACGAATGACCAGGTGGACGAGTTATACCGCTCTGGCATTGCACCCTGGCGATCAGTAGGTTGGCGGCCGAGTGAGAAGCATTATCATCACGAAGTGCATGACAAACAAGTTTCGGACTGTGGGAGAAATCCTAAAGATTTATATGCGCTGTAATTGATATGTATGATAGTGCCAATGTACTTGTACGCTGATTTGTTATTCTAGCGACTATGAGTAAGTTGTGTCTTCACGGACTGTTCGATGGGGAAAGACATGGAATGATGCAGGCATCAATAACAAGGCTGGGATCCACGTTGTTGTTTGCAACGCCTACTAGTGGTTAATCGGGTTTAGAAAGGGCGCATAGTACCACTTCATGCTGAACCAGACATGAAGTTTCACCAATCTACGTCAAACGTAGTAAAGACTGGTTATGAGTACTCAGCACCGGAGAAATCTGTCCGTAAGTCATGTGGGAAGTAGTCGAAGGTAGTCACCATGCGTACTAAAGTCTGTTTGCAAGGTGACCGCCCCGAATGCGCAGTCCGTGAAATCCCTATAACCGCTCGAACGTTAATCATGAAAAAATGACCATAAAATTGAAGTAAATGCGACTGGATTGCAAAAAATCACGGAAGCTAGACAAATGGGAGGACAAGAGTAGCATATATGACCTGTGAAAAGTATGATAGTAACATATCACAACGAAATATGCGAGGTCAAGAAAAGCTAATTCCAGAATGTGCGGAAAGAACTTTGTGTCGATACTATTTGCACACGGCTTCGCGGTTGTGTCTTGGTAACAACGTGACAAGCCCAGTTTGCTGTATTTCCAGGCCCCTGGAGCTAAAGCACCTGTCGGTGCAATCAGGTTAAGTGATGCGGCTACCAATGAGAAATTCATGTTACCTCTGGACTTCGTAACACCAGGAATGGTTTGCTCGAGGACACATTGCTATCCCTTCGAGATACTCTTCGACTAGGACGTCGATGGAAGGTCCCCATGAAGGAACGTTTGCGCGACCGTCGATGAATCGTTTCTGAACCTTGGCGTGATAACGCGCTGCCCAAGCCATTGCACCACTTATGTCGAGGCCAAGTTCCAACATGATAATACTGATCATGTTATGGTCTTCGTCCCCAACCGCTTGCTCTTTGTTGTACGAAATCATGTCCTGCGAAGATTGTGAACACACCGCAAACCAAGACGTCTTCAATACCGATTCACATTGTCAATCAGAACTAAGTCTGTGATACATTCAATAAGATCCATGATCGCGGGATGGTAGAACACTTCATCAGGAAGGTCCATCCCCATCTCATACATGAAAAAACATGGTTTTAAACCGATCGTACACCGCCGGAGCTTCAAGTAGTCATCGAAACTGCGCCTATGACTTTGTTTACGGTCAAGAGCCTCGCCAACCACTCCCTGAAGGTATGCAGTAAATGCTTCAAGGAAGTGACGTTGAGAAGACAGGCTTGCGGATTGGATTGCGCGAGCCCAATACCTATGCAAAACCCCTTGGGCTTCAGATGATCATCAAATAATTCGGAAGCACTTACTGTCGCACCAATTCACCAAGGACGCATTCGCCTTCCGGCCGTATCTTATGAGGATTGTGTAGGACATCAATCACGATATCCACAATTTCCTTGATGACTGCCCCGTCCTCGACTGTGGTATACTCCTCCAAAAACAAGATTGAATTTAGCAAATCAAAGCTGATACGAAGGCGTTCTATTTTTCAAGAATGGAATATCAGAGTCACATAACACGTGAATTGCTAGGGATCAAGTACGAACCTCTTGATGCATTGGGATTAGCTAGTGCCGCTAAGAGAGCTATAAGAACGGCACGTGTCAACCATCGTTATAATCGAGAGTTGGTAACATAGGTCGAACCAGTGTCGCATTCACTGAATGCCACCTGTGACTCAGGACTCAGCTGAGCCTTGAAATCACTGATCGAAGCATCGACTTCAGCTTTGAAATTCTCATAATGTGGATTAATGGTACGTGGCCAGGGCCAGCTAACCATAGTGTCTGGGAGGTATATCACTTTTGGGCGAGTATCCATAGCCTCCGAAAATAGTGTCTGATGAGGAGTGCAAGAAGGGTAGATTGTTGCTGCTCTAGTCAGAGCTTCCAGCAAAACTTATATACCTGCCCAGGTCAGAATGTTCGGTCCACCTCATGTTAGATATTTCGGCACATGTGCTTATTCGACTACCGATAGGTGAAATCCTGTCAGCATCAGGCTGTAATTGAGATAGGGTCGGCTCTATGGAAGATTTAGTTAATCAGAAGCTAGCTATCATTGTCCGTCTTCCTTACTTCGTTTCTGCCGTATGACTTTTTTTGAAAAATAAGTCACGATAACTCCACATCTCGTAGAGTGCACTTCCGCATTTGACGCTTCGGCTAATACCACTTCCACCGGCAGATGCCAGAGAGTGAGAAGCCGAACGTTGCGCTGAACAGTATATGCTTTTGAACCGTAAATCCCGGCCTTTCAGTTTCTGCATTGCTAAAAGCTCATGATCACCGATTTGGCCATCACATACCTAACAGTATTGGAATGAACTTCTAGTCTCCGAATCAAGAACGTGATGATAGGTCGGTATATGTATACTCACTGAGCTGTGAGCGTGATAAAAGTTAAGCGAACTGGAACTTCGTTCGCTAGATGGAGGTTATAGTGCAACCCTGATTGAACTTTCTGAGAGATTGCTGGAGAGACCTATACCGTTCAAACCCTAGAACCGGACACCGGCTGGCAGTTGGTACTGTGTAGCCACACTGGCCATAGTGTCAGGAAGGGATATTAGTAGCACTGGAGAGGATCAGCGTGTTGTTTAAATGTCTTCAGGAAAATCTTTGTGAAAGCTATACTTATCCTATTTGGGTGTGTTTTATTTTTCAGGGATGAAATCGAAGTTATGTGATGCGTGGATTGCTACGAATTTTAATACTGACAAGCAAGATAAGGTCAACCAACAGAACGAACGAGGACATAATGATGAACGGCCACGGACCATGCTTTTAAAAAATGGAGGTTGAACACACCGATAAGTGAATTGAATCACCGATTGACTCAAGTCCTGCCAGTGAACTAGGAGAATGAACAGTTCCCTCCCGGATCATATTGCAAACTTGATCAACGAGCACTAAAGGTGATAAACCTAGTCATTTTCTGACAGTACTGGTGATATGTATGGGTGTTGTGACACGAGTTTTGTGCATGCAATCATTCATGATTCGACATGGTTCATGCCAAGTTCGTGCATTCACTAGCGAGCATCTGAGTGGCGGAAGTAGTCAGAATATCGGCAACTGCCGAATAAAATCTGCGCCATAAGAGGGTTTTTTTAAAATCAATTAAAAAAAAAAATATCTAAAAACAAACATAATTCCCGCTACCTCTGTCTTATAGCTTGCTAACTAGCACACACCCGTTGTGCCTTCGGCACAGGAAGCAAAAAGAGCGCTTCGCGCTCTTTGTTGGCTTCCTGGCCTTCGGCTTCATCCTACTTTGGGTGACTTAATAATTATTGCAGGTTTTGAAATAAATTATATTTTATCCACTGAGTTGTGATCAAAATTTCAAAATAAGTTACATACTTTGAGCAGTATTTTGACAAAAGTAAAAGTACAATTGAATATATGTATTTTTCTCATCTACTGTTGTGTCTGTTGTCCTCCCATCCTGTTGTCCTCCTCCCGTCCTCTTGTCCTCCTCCCCTTTCCTCTTGTCCTCCCCCTTCCCCCTTCTCTCATTCTCCCATTCTCCCATTCTCCTGTTTTTCCCATTCTTCTATTTTCCTCTTCTGTTTTCCTGTTCTCTGTTCTCCTATTCTCCTATTTTCCCTATTTTCTCTGTTTTCCCATTTCTCTCATTCTCCTATTCTCCTTTCCCATTTCCCATTTCTCAATTGTCTTTTCTTAATATGTAGTTGAATTTATGTTTAATTTCATAAATAATAAATGATTTTCAATGAGTGCTGCCCTAACGGGCAGCGGACGCGTGACAGCCATGCGAGTTTCCAAATCGAGCTTTAAGCGAGGTAAGCGAAAACCACATGGCGTTTAGCGAAAAATGCATGACCTTTAGTGAAACGCACATGGCCCTACGCGAAAACCACGCGAGCGTCCGGTACTTCCCTCACCCATCCTCCCATACTTTATAGATTCACCGTTTTGTGGTAGATTTGTCAGATTTTGGCGACCCTATTTTTTGGGCTTTACATGGTAATTAGCTGTTGTTGATCGATCACTTTCTATATCCGGTCTCGCCTTACGACGGCTATGGTCTCCTTTCTTACGCTCCTTTTCTTTAGCTACCACCATGAGCTCGTTCATTGCTTGTCTGCCTGTATCCGTCGTCTTTGACGTTTGATTCTCATTCTTCTGTTGTTTCTTCTTCTATCGCTTGCTCGCTCGGCCATTCTGATTTAGGTTGCGGTTTGCTGAAATTCTCACAGCCTCTTACAATGGCCGTTTCTCTCACGACTGACGTTGAGTTCGAGATTTCGTGTAGTTTGACTCATCTATCTATAAATCTATAAAGTAAGGGAGAACGGTTGCGGGAAGCACCGAGCGCTCGCATGAAGCTCGCATGGAGGCCACGTTTGCTCGCGTGGGTGCCATGCATGCTCGCATGGATGCCATGTGTGCTCGTGTGGCGTCCACGTTTGCTCGCATGGCATCCACGTGCGGACACCATGTGGTTTTCGCTTACCTCGCTTAGTTCTCTTTTTGGCAACTCACGTGGCTTTTTCGAGTGCCCGCCCGCGCTCGATGCCGCAACCCAACACTGCAAACACCAACCCACCAGCGCTGCCACGACCTCGCCCTTCACCTAGGGCTGCACACTGTACTGTATACGGTAGACGGCCGTACACATACGGTAGAGGTACGGTAGACGGGTTTACCGTCTACCGTACATAGTATTGGTGGTGGACCAAGCGGACGGTATGGTACGGAGTATTATACGGACGTATACGGTGATGTACGGTACATACGGAATGTTAATCAACTATGAACAAGCTCATTTAGTGCCAAACGAGCCAAGCGAAGCCTTGCCTTCACGAGCATCAACATTTTGATAGTCTCAGGCTTGAGACTTGCACGTTGCAGGGAGATTGTGTCGTGACCACCGGAGAAAATTCGTTCAACAGCAACAGCAGATCCTACAAAGAAGAGAACTAAGTACAGACACCTGGAACGTGAAGTGAGTACTCACCAGGTATTGAAAGGACATCATGGGCAAGTTGAGAGAGGTTTGGAAACTGTGCTCGGCGACCCGCCCACCACTGAATGGGGTCGCAAAGGTCAAAGTCCTCTTGTGGAAGTTTTAGGTACTCCTCGAATTCATCTACCAAAACATTTGACTGCTTCTTGTACCTTGCCGTGAAATTCATCTTCGAGGGTGAATTTCTACCATCAGACACATTTGCGTGATGGCCTGTGCTGGAAGACAGCGATGATGCACTGTCCTGCGCAACGGCAGTAAAATACTACAAGGAACATACTGAGAACACCCGCTTCTATCAGTGTGAAGCACACGCAGCAAGCTATCAGACTCGCTGCTGTCATTGTTGTTGTCGGTGCAGGGCATGGCGGTTCAGGGCAAGAAGTTACAGGATAAATCGGCACCCTTTCCGACCGTATGAGGCCGTAAAGGTACCGTTGACGGCCATATGGAATACGTCTTGTACGGTGTACGGTCTGGCCGTACACTGTACCTATTGACCTCCCTTTGCATGTCCACCGGTATGGCAACCGTACAAACCGTCTATGACAGTGACGGTGTGCAGCCCTACCTTCACCTGCCGAAATTTCCCATCGCTTTCAAATACCTCCAGTTGTGTCCTGCTGCCCTCACATGACGATTCCTACTAGCACTCAGCCTGCCCCTGCCAGTACTGTTGACATGGGCGCATTTTTTACTGTGTCACGTGACACGGAGCCAGCCGCCTCCAGGTGAGTTCTTTTCCTTTGTCTTCATCTGATTTGGAAAATTTACAGCAGCTGCTATCCCCAGTGCTTCCCCAGCACCTTCAGCAGCATCTTTTGCTGTGGCCTGTGGTGACTCTGATGTTGCACTCCCCATCATGCCAGGCCATGTTGCCAGGTGAGTTCTGTTGTTTCTGTCTGTCTGATTTGTCATTTATGGTGGCTACGAGGTACACCAGCTTTCTCGAGCCAACCCCTGCTGTTGACTGGAATGCCAGGGTTCTGCAGGGTCTGGACACAAGTTATGCTGCCCGACTGCAGCGACGTGCTCAATGCCATGTAGTTATTCCACCTGTTGCGACACCCACCCCGCCTGTTGTTGCATCCACTGCTCCATCAGTACCCTCAGGTACGACTGACTGGGCAGCTGAACTCCATCTCTGCTTTTCAGAGAGTCACTTGAGGCGTCTTGAACGGAGACAGCTCACTGACCCATACAGCAAGATCTCCACTCGGCGAGAGGGTCTCCATGCAGCACAGCAGCGAGTTCATGACCTTCGACAAGAAAATGCAAAGATGGCCAAGAGAATGATCAGGGCAGATGAGGAATTCGAGCATGTCCACAAGCGCAATGACATGGACTGGGATGTTAGTTGTGCACACTTGGATGAGGCAATTGAACATAGAAAGCAGCGCAAGGTTGCAGATGCTTGGCATGAACACATCTTTGAGGAGAGGAAGGGGAAAACTTGGGAGGAGCGGCGTCATTTGGACCAGGTACTCAAGGAGGGTCCTCCCCCTGGCTGGAAGCCTTCTTGACATTCACATTCACATTTGTCTTATAGTTAGTCTTAATTTGTGAAATGCCAAGTGTAATTAAATTTGGACTTAACCTTGACTCAACAAATATAATATATATAATTTATAATTATTGAAACACCCAAAGGTAGGATGTAGCCGAAGGCCAGGAAGCCAAAAAAGAGCGCAAAGTGCTCTTTTTTGCTTCCTGTGCCGAAGGCACAACGGGTGTGTGCTAGTCTATAAAGTAAGGGAGGATGGGTGAGGGAAGTACCAGGAGCTCGCGTGGTTTTCGCTTGGGTCACTTGCACCGCGTAGATACACTTACCTTGCTTATTTCGCCAAAGGCCATGTGGTTTCGCTTACCTCGCTTAAAGCTCGATTTGGAAACTTGCGTGGCTATCACGTGCGTCCGCTGCCCGTTAGGGCAGCACACATTTAAAAACATTTATTAAGTTATGAAATTCAAATTATATACACAATAAATTCAACTACATATCAAGAATAGACAATTGAGAAATGGGAAACAGGAAAGGAGAGTGGGAGAATGAGAGAAATGGGAGAACAGGGAAAATGGGGAAAATTGGAGAATAAGAGAACAGAGAACAGGAAAACAGGAGAAAGGAACAATAGAAGAATGGGAAAAACAGGAGAAAAGGAGAATGGGGAAATGGGAGAAGGGGAAAGGGGACAAGAGGATGGGAGGATGACACAAAGAGGACAGTGTAGAAAGCAGATCTCCGCTGGGCTCAGCAGAAATCGTACTACCTAGACAACAAATATTTAGGTAGATCTTAGCACGACCTAGTCTGCTATAGTTGCAGAGCAAGTGTGTTCGATCCTATAGGGGTTGCTAATTGGTATTAGTAGTAAAAATGCATCAGTAATGCAAATAACAAAATGTCCGATGGTGCGAAACGATGTCCGAAGGTACTTATCCAATGTCCGAAGCCAAAGTGCGATGTCCAAGATTTCGGACTTTCGGACTTCACGATAATAGGTCGGAAACTTTTTAACGAGTGTCGGATTGCAAGCGGTATGCGTGAGTATAACGAGTGACGGAGTATGACGGTGAATGAATGGTAATATTTTGCAATGCAACTAAGAACTACGAGAATATTCTGGGTGATCCGCAGAGTCGGGAAGCGGCTCCTAACTACTGGATGATTATTGCTACGGGTCACTACAGAGTATTTAAGTAAGTACATAGAAATTCGGAAAACTACAGGCGAAGATAGTAGCGATATATTTCAGGTCCGATATCCTATGTAATAAGACACGAGGTACTGCGGACATGTAATAACGCGGTCCGAATGTCAGAAAACATGCACGGGAATAACTACGCACCTAGTGAGGCTAGTTCGGATGGACAGGACACGGGATGGACAAGTGCGCATGAAGTGTGATCGGCCGATGCGATGTCTGAAGGTCCGATGCGCCGGATCCGATACGGAGTGGCTCGGACATGTTCGAAAGTGCGTTGGACATGTGCGCATATGTTTCGGGTGTTGATGTGAGTATGGAAATACGTGGTTTTGAGCCCAACACCGCGACCATCGCTACAACGGGAGGAGGACAAGAGGATGGGAGGATGACACAAGGAGGATGGGAGGAGGAGGACAGGAGGAGGACAGCAGGACGGGAGGAGGACAGCAGGACAGGAGGAGGACAACAGGATGGGAGGAGGGGGCACAGAACACCAACACAACAGCAGATGAGAAAATACATATATTCAATTGTACTTTTACTTTTGTCAAAATACTGCTCAAAGTATGTAACTTATTTTGAAATTTTGATCACAACTCAGTGAATAAAATATAATTTATTTTAAAACCTGCAATACTTATTAAGTCACCCAAAGTAGGATGAAGCCGAAGGCCAGGAAGCCAACAAAGAGCGCGAAGCGCTCTTTTTGCTTCCTGTGCCGAAGGCACAATGGGTGTGTGCTAGTCTATAAAGTAAGGGAGAATGGTGGTGGGAAGGGACGGACGCTCGCGTGGTTTTCGCTTGGGTCGCTTAGACATGCTAAATGCCATGTGGTTTTCGCTTACCTCGCTTAATGCTTACTTTGGAAATCTCGCGTGGTTTTCTCGCTTGACTTTGCTAATGGTGAGAACAAAAAAGTCTTGATTCAGAATTTCGAAAGGTAAAATTCCACGGTGTCCAAAAATGCTGCCAAACACGATATAGTGGACAGTGTTCTGCACGCCTACTGCGCCGTGCCCATAATACGGACAAACAACTCACTTTTCCTACTATAAGGGAGCGAGCATTGAGAATAGCAAAAGCATAACAGATTTTGGTTACACAATTTGTTACATAACTTGGTGACACAAATCATTACACAATTGGCTGCTGCTTTTGTATAGAATTCTCGAATTAAATTGCCCTCCCCCACAGCCAAGTGTAACAAAGTGTGATACACTTTTTGTGGGTTTTGATTCTTATCAACAAAGATAGAAATGACTTATTGATGGGCTCAGGCGACTCAAATTTTGCACTTGCTAAACAACTGTTTAAATATCAAACATGGACAGAAATATGCCCATTCCATGAGTTGCTGACTATATATTGCTACGTGCAAGGTGAATGATGCTAATGTCTGCACATGCTATTTAGAAATCAAGAACATATTACCCCAGAGCACAAGTGTCACTCCCAACGCGAACACGATAGAGTCAATCGACTCCAGATGACGTCCCCTACCAGGTGCAATCGCCAACATGCTGCTCATGATAGGCCTCCACCTCATGTACCACAGCCGAATTTCATGCCAGCTAATGAACCACAAGCAGGGCCTGTTCCACGACCTTTTGCGTGGCAGCCTCCTCCTCACTTTCCATATGAACTGCTACCAGTTGGTCAATATCCTGGCTTGCCACGTAATGCCATTGCGCATGTACAACGTGCTCATCAGCACCCTCCTGTTGATTATAATGCATGCCTGAATGAGCAGATGAATGCAGCTCATAATAATAGATGCTGCCAGCGCAACCGTCGTAGGTAACAGGACAGAGAGGAGATAAGAGAGCAGGCACAAGCAGAGCTAATGGCAGCTGGCATACAGCCCATGCAGGTACCTCAGGTGCATAATGAACCTGCTCAACCTGCTCCTGCTCCTCCTGTATATGGTGCCATTCATTATGAGGGAGCAGTTGGTCCTCACAACTTTGACAATCCTCTTCATTACTTTGTGCCTAATCCTGCTCTGCCTTTGCATGGACCACCTGAACCTGATCATCATCAATTTAACATTCAGTTTCAACACCATTTACAGGCAGAGCAAATGGAAAATGAGCGCATTAGAAATGACTTGCTTCAAAGGCAAGCACAGGAGGAATTCTGTTACGACTTGGATGGTATCTGTTAGCGATGCTCAAACAGAGCATGTGTCGTCAACGGTCGAGGATGTCCTTGGGCTAGCCCAAGGTTAGGGGTCTTACTTGGCGAGGCTTTGGCAAGTAAGATTTGACGCCTATGTCCAAATCGGGTAGCTTACGTCAAGCAGGTGCTAGACGATGAGCTGTATCTGCCAAGGCTTACGACACCCGAAGGTCAATCGTAAGATCGTCGTTAATTAGAAGGACGGAAGTCCGACTAGTTAACAGGGGCTTTGCTTGTCGACGAAGTCGATAAGCAAAGATCAAGACTATAGGCTTATCCGCGAAGAGCAGATAAGAAGATAGAATATAGACTGCTGGCTAGGCATAAGGGATCACTCTGGTGAGAGTAGGAGGTCAAGAACCAAGTAGATTCAAGTTAAGGAATACGGTACATGGTAGCGAGTTTATATAGAGGATAGGAAGCGTATTAGTGGATGATAACTCGTACTACCAAGTGAAGTAATCGGTAAAGGGCATAACCATAAAAGGAAGGCACATTCGGGGTGAGACACGAGTGAACCAGAACGTGCTTGATAAGAAATTAAGTCAGAGGTCAAAACAAGAAGTGAAACGCGCAGGGGCACGATCGTGCAACTGCGGATCTAAGTATAAGTAACATGTGCGACTGCGCACTGAGTCAGAGATCGAAAAAGGGAACAGGGCAAAGGGGATATGTCGTGCATCATATCATAGGTTACCGTCTGGATGGTAAGGGCAAGGGGACTGTCCACAGGATCAGTCAGGCGGTGGAACGGAGCATGGGTATGCTTCGTCAGCAAAAGGATCCGGCCAGATGTACTGGCTCTGCTGAAGCGACAGATAGAGAGCGAAAGGGAATGCGAGGATGACAAGGATGACAAGGGTAAGGTCAGGGTAAGGGTATGACGCGAGGGCTGATACGAGGAGGATTAGGAGAAAAATGGTAGGGGCCCAAGCATCTAGATGTTCTTGTAACAAATTCCGACGACGTCAAATTCAGCTACAATTGCAACAACAATTGCAACAACAAGAAGCTGAGAGGATCAATAGAGAGGCTCAATGGCGGTATGAGGCAGCTCTTCACCTGCAGCAGCAAGGAGCTGAGAGGATCCAAAGAGAGGCTCAATTGCAGCAGCAGGAAGAGGAGCAGCAGGTTAGGCTGGCTCAGGATCGTCTGCAAGCAGGTCAGCATGAAGAGGAGCAGCAGAATAGGCTGGCTCGGGATCGTCTGCGAGCACATCAAGACGAAGAAGAGATCCAACACCAGAGACAACAAAGGATTTGTGAGCAGGCAGAGCGCTTAGAAGAGGTGCTGCATGAATATAATGATCCTGCTTCTCAAGAAAATCATGCTGCTGATGAAGAAAGGAGAAGAGCTCAAGAGCTTCAACAGTGTGAGGAGTGTGAGGCAGAGGATCAAGAAGTTATCAACTGCATTGTTCCTATCCCTGATGGAGCTCGACCATACAGGGAGCCTATAAACATCCACAATCTTGCTACTCTTAATGTAGAGTGCACCAAGTGCCATGCATTGCACTTTGCATCCGAAAGACTCTCAAAATCGTCCCTATGGAATCCAAAATTCGGTACATGCTGCTTGGAGGGTAAAGTCGTCCTCCCGCCCTTTCCACCATGGCCGCCAGAACTGCAGCACGCTTATACTGACAGGACATTTGTCTCCAAGATTCGGCAGTACAACAGCGCTCTTGCATTCACATTGGTTGGTGTCGATATCGAGGATAGAGCCCTCCAAGGCTCTGGCCCCAATGCTTTTCGTATTCATGGATCTCTCCATCACCTCATGGGTAGTCTCATACCTCCAGAAGGCATTCAGCCTTCATATGCGCAACTTTATATCTATGATCCCGAGGAAGCCA